GCATGAAATAGACGTATCCAGAAACATTTCATATTCAAATCCTATTATCCATCGTTGTATTAACGTGGTGAACTAATAGAATATGTACGAAGTTAAATGAGACATGTGTTTTGCTAGTATTATTCACCATCGCTGTCATTATGGAATCAACATGGTAACTCAAGCTAAGGCATCCGACTTTCGGGTTATTTATTTATTTATTTGAACACATAAATATTGGTGTAGGAGTGCGCCAAAACAATGAGAATTTAGGAAAAAGAAAAGTGGGGAACGTAAAAAAAAGATATAAAAAAACAATAACGAAGAGATTGGTGTAAGGTAGTGTAATAATCATAGTAATAGTAGGGGAACAGAAGGGTACAATCAGAAGAAATCTTTCAGTTAAGGAAGATACAACCACGTTTTATGAAGAAAGTAAAAGGAGGTTACAGCATGATCGCCACTGGCTTCTATTCTGAGCCATATCTGATAACGTCTCTAGCCATTGTGTTGTACCATCTCTCGGACCCCAACCAGGGAGTCGTGAAGGACCGACACAAGCCAGCCCTTTGCAGCTTTCTTTCATACCACGACACCATGTCATATACTGACCACCTCCGCTTTCTCCAACCAGTCCCAAAGTCGGCAAGTAATGCACGGCGTGGAATTCTCTGGGACGACATTCGGAGAACATGTCCAGGCCATCGAAGTCGGTGTTTCAAGATGGTAACACCAATTGCATTATCGTCTCTGTGCCCGAACACACGATGCCGAACCTCTGCATTACTAACATGGTGTTGCCACTGGATTTCAGCAATCCTTCGGAGACAACGATGATCGAACACAGAGAGTCGTCTAACATACTCAACTCGAAGAGACCAGGTTTCACAAGCATAGAGCAAAACTACTCTCACCGACGCGTTGTAAATCCGACATTTTACAGCCAGACTAACATCACGAAGGCGCCAAAGATGGCCCAGATTGGCATAAGCCGCTCTGGCTTTCACTATTCGTGCATTAATCTCATCACTCACACCCCCACCAGCACTTATGCAGCTACCTAGATACACGAACTTCTCGACTACTTCTATTTGCTCACCATCTAGGGTGAGTACAGGATTGGAATCCTGCCAGTCTTGTAGAAGTACTTTGCATTTCGAAGGTGCAAAGCACATACCATACCTACGGACACTGATTGCCAACTGATTAAGTGCGGATTGCATACCTTGGACATTATCGCACAGTAAGACAATATCGTCCGCATACTCAAGGTCGAGAAGTCTTTCTCCAGGCAACAGATCCACACCACCATTACTTACATTCATCAGAGCTGTTTCCAGAATGTCATCGATGGCAAAGTTCAAGAGGAATGGTGAGATTGGGCAACCCTGCCTAACCCTAATGGAACAATGGAGAGAGGTGTTTGTATGCCCTCACTCTGCATGAGGTGTTTGTATATAGGGCTTTTAGGATGTTAATAAACTTCTCAGGCACATCCTTCTTCAATAGACAATCCCAGAGAACAGTTCTGTCCAACGAAACGAAGGCAGCCCTGATGTCAAGAAACACTACGATTGTTGGCCCTTAATAAGTATGACGGTGTTCTAACATTTGGCGGAGGGTGAAGATATGATCAATACATCCTCGACCAGAACGAAACCCAGCCTGCTCCTCGCGAGTCAATCTTTCTCGGGTTTTGAACAACCTACGAAGTATGACGGAAGCCAATAGCTTGGACACAATCGGAAGTAGACTTATCCCCCGATAGTTGTTACAGGAACGACATGAACCCTTTTTAAAGATAGGGACAACTATCGACTCATTCCATGACGTTGGTACACTCTAGTTCCCAGACTTTTGTAAACAACGTCGTCAGTCCCTTAGTCAGAAAGTCACCACCATCCTTAAAAAGAGTCGAAGGTAAGTCATCTGGACCAGGTGATTTGTAGCGCTTCAAGAGTTGGAGTTCCTTGCGGACTTCCGCCTCATTTGGTGGATCAATCGTCACCGGCCATGGAGGGCAGGACAGTCTGACCGATGTTGCCGGAGCAGCAGGCCAGTTGAACTGTCCTTCGAAAAATTCTGCCCATCGTCCAAGACGTCGATGGATGTCAGTGATTGGCATCCCATCATCCTCGCAGATTGTTTCACTCACACCAGACTTCTTGCTGCCAGTGGCTCGGATGAGTTGGAAGAGCTTCCGGTAGTTACCAGATGCAGCTGCTGCTTCCAGCTCATTAGCACGCTCCGACCACCAGGCTTCTCGGTCCTTACGCAAGCTTTGCCCAATTTCCTCACGTAACATCCTTCGTTTGTGGTCAAACTCACGGTCACCCGTAGTAGACCGACGGGCTTCAATGAATTGTAAGGAACCAGAAGAAACCCAATGCTTATAAGCGGGACGTTTCGCAAACCCACAACTGACTGTTCCCGCCATTTTCATGGCGTCATGCAATTGCAACCAATGCTCATCTATACTTTTCGGTGGAGTGGTAGCTAGCCTAGAGGCTAGCTCGGTTCGATACTTACTTGCAACAGAAGTTGCAACCAGCTTGCTAACATCAATCCGTTGATGGCGTTCACTTCGTTGTCTACTGAAAAGTAAGGCAAGATTGGCGCAGACCAAGGCATGGTCAGAGTCCAGATAGGTACTCCAAAAGGAGCGGCAGTCTTGTACACAACCACGCCAGCGGTAGCTGATCGCGATGTGATCAATCTGAGTCCAGGCTTGAGATGCAGAGGGAGGACGCCAGGTGGCACATCGGCGATGACTGTGCCGAAAGTTAGTGCTAGCCAGAAACAGGTTGTGGTCTGTGCAAAGTTGCAGTAGACGGTCCCCGTTATCTGACCTGCGACCAACGAGTCCCCATCGGCCACCTAAACGACTCTCTTCTGTGCCTAGACGCCCGACCTGAGCATTCAAGTCTCCGGCTAGTACTACAATATTTGTCGAACGCACTTTCTGGAGAAGAACTGATAACTGGTGGTAAAACTCATCCTTGATTGCATCCGGGCTGCAATCTGTCGGGGCATAGGCGGAGATGACGAAGAGACATCGTTTCTCACGCCGATTTCTTCCCACTTTGATGGAACTTTCTGATCTAACAGCACATAACCGACTGTTAATGGGGATCCAATCGACTAGTGCTGCCTCCGCTCTAGCGCTTAGTGCGACACCAACGCCAGCAAGACCAGACGGAGATGCCACAGGGTCCCCGGATAAGCGCACGTGAAACAAGCTTTTCGAAGCGACAGATGGAGATCGAATTTGTAGTACTTCGCCAGAGTCTTGAATACAGGTCTCGGATAGACAACAAACACCAATATTAAGACTTTCTAAAGACATAGCCAGCCCTATCTGTTGTCCGACCTGCATAAATGTGCGAACGTTGAAGGCAGCCAGTTTGAATGGTGCACGCGGTTTCAGAAAAACTGCTTCAGTACTCATATTCGGTGGTAACATACAATTTTCAACCGGACAGTGACTCGAGAACGTTTAGATAGAGTCGAATTTCCACCATAGACGAGCTGCTGTATAAGTCGAAAAAAATAAGTATAGAAAGAGTAGGAATAAAAGAGGGTGAATAATGACGTAGTAAATAATAATAATAATAGTAATAGCAATAATAATAATTGAATCATTTGAATGTTCGTCGAAGCAAGAGAATCAGTTTCCATGATCATAGACAGTTCAGTTCATTAATTGCGTGTGGGATGCGATACTGCCCGGGTGCCCAGACCGAAGCAGGTGGTTATCTTAGGGGGCCACACCCCGAGCCTTTGACCTAAAGGTCTAACCCACAAGGCAGTAGAGCATCGCAAGGAGATGCAGTCCCATGGTAGCCGGTGACCGAAAATTGGTTCATATGCCATTTGCTCCCGCAGGATACTGGAGCCCATGTGCACCATTGATTTGGAATCCGGTTAAAGCGCCGGACATTCGCTTTCCGTCCTCTCATTTTCGTAAACAACACCCCTGCCACGAGAAGGCAGTGAGTAGGACTTCCCTGGCAGAGGCTGTATACGCGTGGCCGTGTGAGAGTATTTCGAGAGGGAGGGCGGACCCACCCCACTCTCGGCCATACCAGGGCATTTCGGGTACCAAGTTCCAGGTTTGAATCACATCCACCTACTTCCGCTTGGGGAACCAGGTATTATTTTAAGTCCTCATACCTGGTGTGGCACATACTCAAGTGCCTTGGCAATGAGTTAAATATTTTATGCGAAAAGATCCACTTATAACACGATGTAGTTTTGTTTAGTGAAGACGCTGACAAAATGCAGTCTTCTAATCTCCTTGAGCAACAGTGCCAACATGTTTGGAATTTGATTCTATCCCTCTAAATGCAAAATGTTTCAGGAATAGTTTGCGTCAACACCTGAACTAATGATAGGAAGTGGGGCATTTCAGTAATTTGGCCTGTTCTACTTTATGGTTATGGAACACAGCCTTTAAGAACAGAGGATATTCATAGGCTACTAGTTTTCGATCATAGGAGTTTTCAAAAAGTTCTCGTGTATGTCGGTATCACAGAGTGAGCGATGCTGATGAGAGGTATAGGGTGCTATATTAAGATAACAAACCGGTTGATGAGGTAGTGAACCTTCATCAAATTAGTGGTTGGGACGTGCATTACGTATATCCAACCACCGCCTACCTCGATAGGCGATATATCTGGCCTAGGAGTGGGGTGGGAGAAATTAAGAGACAGCCAAATCAAAACATAGCATCAGTCTATGAAGTCATTAACTGTTGGGCTGAGCTATCTAGGTAGGTGCAGATTACGTGATTGGGGTCCGGGCGATTAACGTAACCAGTGGCTGGTGATTTTTTATACAGCTCAGAATCCACTGGAGTTTCATAGACACATCCAATCTTTGTTTCCTCTTGTTTCCTGATCACCCAAATCTCGTAAATTGTCTTCTTTTTATTACCTATTCTTTTCTACTATTTTACGTAGTTACTATTTCTAGCACCGTATGGTTTAGCTCGGCTCAACAACACTGTTAGAAACTTTCCTTAGTACTGATAGTAGTGCGATGCTTTTGGAGTTCTTTATTTGGTATCTTGATGAGGTATCCCTTCTAGTCTGTCGGCACTTGTTCTTCCTCCCAAATCTTTCTGAAGAGAATGTGGGGCATCTTTGCAGTTACTTCAGTGCTTCAGCTGGTATACTCCTGCTTTCCCACTCTTGATTTGACTAATGGTCATCCTAATTTCTTCCGTCGTTGGTGGAGTGACATCTATAGGAAGGTTTGTGTATGCTGCTTCGATATCCAGTGGATTCAGTGGAGTTGGCCTATTCAAGAGTACCTCAAATTATTCTACCCACCTATCCCTCTGTTCTTGAGTCTTGGTGATTGTCTTGTCTTCTTTGTCCTGGACTTGTCCCTCTGGTTTACTATATTTTCCTGTTAGTTTCTTCGTCATGTCATATAGTTGTTTGATATTTCCTCCTCTCATAGCTTTTCCAAATGTCGTTGCTAGGTCTTCCACATGTTTCCGCTTTTCGGCTCTAATGCTCCTTTTCACTCTCTTGTTTGCTTCCGTGTATTTGGCTGTGACTTGTCTTTTTCTGCTCCTGTTTGCATGTTGTTGATTACTGTCTTCTTGTCCTTCCTTTCTTGAATCTTGTTCGGGGTATCAGTAGAGATCCACTCTTTAAGCTAGTGCTTCTTTCGACCCAACGCCTCCTGGCTTATTGAAGTTATTGCTTCTTTAATTCTTTTTCAGTTGTTCGCCACACTAGTTTCCTCTTCTTTGAGTAGATCTTGTAAGGCTTGGAATTGATTGCTGAAAGTATCTCGAATTCGTTGAATTTTTCAGCATTTCGAAGAAGCTCTGTATTATATTTTATAGTGCTGTTTCTCTAGATTTCTAGTGCTTCTTTGGCTTTAGTTTCGTCTTGGCCACAATCAAGTGGTGATTTGAATTTATATCAGCTCTTCCATTTGTTCCCACATTTATGAACCTTCTGAACTTCTTATTCAACCAAATGTGATCGATCCGGTTTATTCTAGTGTGGCCCTTTGAAACCCGTTTAACTTTGTATATGAGTTTGTGGGGAATATTGCGCCACCTATAATCATTTTGTTGAAAACACATAAACTTTCAGATCTCTCATCATTTTCGTCCCTTTCTCCCAGACCATGTCTTATGATATCTTTGTACCTGATGTTGTCCGTGCCGACCTTGGCATTTATGTCTCCCACCGGAATGATCAGGTTCTTTCTTAGACACTTCTCTATGATATATTTCAGTCTTTCATAAAACTGATCTTCATCGTCTTCATTGCTATAATTAGTGGACGCGTAACACTGGATAACATTCATTGTAATCCCCTCCTTTTTTGAAGGAAGCTTTGATAATTTTAGGTCAATGAGATTGCCATTCTGTAAGTGCATTTCGTACTTCTTTGAATAGCATCAGTTCAACTACTTGTGTGCGCGAAGCATTTTATTTTTCGTAGTCAGAGTACAACAGCACCTTTCCCGAACCTAACCTTTTCTGTCTAGCTTTAGTTGCTCTAGTTGTCAGAGGGGACGTCGGCCCCATGACTTCTGTTGAGGATGTTAGATCCCAAAACTCACTTGGTAATTACCTTATTTTCGTAATTCTATTTTAAAAATTTGAATTTCCTGTTTTCGCGCCAACGATCTCATTATTTTTACCTTCATTTCGTATTTCCTACTTGGGAGGATCTTAAACGCTATTGGTTCGTTGTATCTTTTAGTATGCTATTTTGTAACGCTTCCCAAAGACAATTTTATGCTGTATATATACGTTTGACTTGTGCTTGTTGTTGTAGTTCGTGCTTCTGGCTGCTTGTGGAGTATATTCCTCTTTTCTGAACATGAACTTCTCTCTAGTTAACGGGGCTGGGACGCGTCGAAATAGCTAGCTTATCTGCCATTATGTCACAGTCTTCGTTCCGTTCTCAGATTAGGTAAACTCGTAATGTCTTCAAACATAGCAAGTTCTAAAGAATCTCCGCTTTCACCATGAGGCTCCATGACACTTCTAAATAAAGATCCTTCAACTCCCGAAGCAGGGTTTAAATGGTCTAAGTGATTTTCTCTCGTTAGCGTCTTTTAGCATGGTTGTTTTCTACGATTACAAATCCAACTCTCTAGTTCTAGGAGAATTTTTTGTGGGTACTGAAAGTTCTGGATAACAAGTACCAAATGTTCCTTTTACATTTTATTAGGATGTCAGCTGAAATTAGTCTGAAAACATAATTGTTTATTCCATGTTTTCCTCAGATAGGATATCCACAGTTTAAGTCTTCTTTGAATCATTCCCAATCTTGATGCTGTGGAATGCACACCAAATATTTTCGCTGTCACAGTTGGTACATTAAGGTTACAATATTTCTGTGAGATCATTTAACAAGAGTTTGTAACAAGAATCTTGTTTTAGTTCTAAGGTGTGATATAGGGACAAGATTCTTCGAGACTATTTATCATTTTCTCCCTGATCTGCTGATCGTCATTCACTTTACAGTTAAATAGGTTCAAGTGGATTTATTGCTGCCACAGGACTTCTGAATTAGTCCCAGTTTGAAAGAGTGATTCACCTTGGTTCGATACTCGTATAATATTATTAATCCTTGAAAAAGTGCATCTTGAAACCGACTGTATGAAACCGCTTAGTTGCTAAGTTGTAACAAAAGTCTTTAGGTATTGATAATTCACCATGTCATCGGGTCTTACTGCGGTGAGATAGGAAGTTTTTAATCCGAGACCTTATCAAAGGATTAAGTATACAAATAAAATACTTCATAAACGCAAATTTTATAGGTTATATAAATTAAAAGTGATATAATAAGTAGGAAACATTTTTCGAATTCGCAATTATCGCTCGTACCGTTGAAAGATTATTTTCCTAGTGGTTACACAATAACTTGTTGAACTAGTTGAATTAACTAGAATTAATCCAAGGAGTAGGGTGGGGTAAACCAAATTTGATTTTAGGTACTGAGTTTCTCAGTACAGAGTCAAGTGTTTTGTTAACATGCCTAACTATTCATCGTTCTTCTTCCTGGGAATATTCCTGCTACAGACGTTCGTTATAAGACAGATCATAAATATTATTCAAAGGATTGTGCTTTCCGACCTAAAGTTTCCATATTGTTTTAGATATAATGCTTTCTTATTTCGACACCATAAAATTCATTTATTTCACTGTAATTTGAAGGGTTTTTCTACGAACGGTCAGCAGCATTTTTGTCATATAAAATTCAAAGGTCAAGCAAAGATGATTGGAATAATAAAGTGACATCTGGTGTGTTATATTTAGTAATTAATTTAATAACTAACTGGCTTGTACCTTAGCGATTTTAATTTTTACTATGTCATCATTTGACATAATCATTCTCTCTCAAAATAAATCCAAAAATATCTATAGGGAATGAACAGTTACTTAATTGTTTTACAGATGCTTTTAATGTATCTATGGCCCAAATTATAATTTATTAGAAAGTCTTCATTAATCATATCAGGAATATTATGTTTCAGACTGTCATCGAGTGTTTGAAATATTCAGCAACTGGAGAACTACCTCCTGGATCGAAAACTGGGTGTTCATTTATCCATGATCCTAGAGTAAGTGTTTACCAGTTGTTTATTAGAGTAACTCACTTCTTGTCCGTCCTTTATCATGCCAATGATTTTTTGATAAATTACATTCATTATAAAACGTCCTTATCTTCCCTTTCATCACTATGTATTCGAATACTTACTAAATTTCGTGCTCAAACTAATTGGTTTTCTTCCAAATTATTTAATAGAAAATTCAGTTCTTAAGCTCTGGTTCATTGTTGACCGAAATTCCATGGTTGGATTTTGTATTCATGTCTATTTGCTAAGGTGACCAAACTTGTTTGTTGAGAGCCTAAACATAAAATGTCGTTTAATTGGCTTATTCGATACCACTAGTTCGTTATAACAGGTCTGTCTTACCAGTCCAAAAAGTAAGATACAACAAATAATCATATATTATCACTTGTTCTGAAAACATTTTCATCTTTTCCGTATCCCTGGCAACGACGTCCAGGCTCATGGTAGTTGTGGCTCGTAAGTATTCAAAACCCTTATTATTTGAACTAAGTTGTAGTGAAACAGTTCGGATACACTACGTAGATTGTAATTGAAACTGATCTCATGAAGTTATGTATCATACTCATTCCCCATTTGTGTTGAAATAATCACAACGCTAAATATGTTCCAAATTTTGTATCATTTGTCGTTTCGAATTCGTCTAAATAAAATTTTGAAGCCCTAATTTGTTTTAATAATTTGTCGTATTGGATTATGCGTTGATCTAGTCAAAATATCTTCAGCGTTGGAATGGTTTTGTAAATTTAAGTATGTTAGCGATGATTATAATCTCAGGATTAATATATTACTTGGTGGTCACCACACAGGAACATACGATCGTTGAACTAGCTAAGTTAGGAAGGTACTTATTCATTAGAAGTGGAATTCAAAAGTTCTCATATTTTTTGAACCCAATAATTCAGTTGTATCGCAATAATTTGAATTATATTTCTTTACACGTAAAAATTTTGCTGACCCCAAAATATTTAAGTATCTCGTATATAACACAGTTATGTACTTTAGTCTTCTTTCTAGAAATTATTAATTTTATAAACCACGTCAACTATTTAGTCACTTATTTGATTTAAATGAAACACAATACGTAAAATGTTACTCGTTTTGTATAGTATTCAAGAGTATAAGCGTCAGTCGGTTCGTCCTTCACTAAATTTCATAACTACAAAATAACTAATAAAAGGTATCTGATGAGAATAATCACATGGATCATTTTTATTACTGGAATTAACTACTACAACAATATACATATGATACATATATGCCAAAGCCATATATATTTGATATGCACCTTTTCTGTCTCTGATAATGCACGTATGCATTATTTTTCCGCTTAGTCAACTGATGATTAATATTCATTCTTCTAAAACGAGAAAGCTCATTTTAAAATAATCATAATTTCTGGGTTTATATATGGAATTTGTGGTAGTCATCTCGCCTGATATTATTCCTAACGTTTAAGGGTTGCTTGAAAATTTATGGTTACCTATTTTTTCCCAACTTTCTATGGAATAAATAGTTATGGAACGATTATTCATTTCATAAAAAGTACGTCTTAGTTATAATATCGTCTTTATTAATTAATTATGAAATATCATACCTATAGAGAAATGTGTTACTCACTTAATCTAATTCACCATAATTAACGAACAAAGTATATGTGATGACTGTAATCTATTCATCTTTCTCTCACGATTTTCTCACATAGATAGCACAAGAAAGTGAAGTGAAAGCCAAAGTCACTCTTCAAATTCGTGACGTTAAAGGTTGTCCTATGGTTGTTTCACGAGCACTTATGGCAACACAGCGTGATAAAGTAAGATTTTCTCTCTACACTTTCATAAATAGTTCAGATCTATTATGAATACACACTTATTTCTGTTTGATATTTCTTAAATTTCTATTCTTTTTCGAAATCGTCCTGTTATCGGATCGCAAAGTGGATGTGTCAATGATTTTCGCGTCGTGATAAAAATCTCGCTTTTCCTTAATAATAGTTATATAGCACAACATTTACATAAAACTGGAACTTTTTCACTGAATGTTTCAAACCTCAAATATCCTGGTTATGCCAGTGATGCTCTCTCTCTCTTCTGCTTGACGTGCTCTCATACTTGCACATATGTTTTTAGCTTTTTACAGGGATGTTGTACTCACCATTCGTACGAAGTAGTACTGTTTATACGATTGAGACGAGAAACAGACTTCTGGTGTTTGAAATAACTCGGTGGATGCGACATTGCTTCACTCTCTTGTGAATTAGATCATTAGATCAAATGTTCGGGAAGTTGTATCCTGAGAAAACCACCTACTTCTATTTATATCCTCCTGTAGTGAACGAGAACACACAAGTGATGGGACAACCAAATGTATTTAAATACCAAATTACAGAATACCTTGGTAAAATATAAGAACCATACACTAAATATTCCATTTGCAAATTTCCATCATTTGTCCTTCACATTCTGTATGATTCTTCCGATTCACAGTTCCTTTGTAATTCCGTTTCTGTTTTCTTCAAGTCAAACTTGATAGCCTTCTGCTACCAGGTTTTCCACTTCCTATTGATGTTGCATCCTACTTATATCTGTTGACACAAGTAGCATGCATCACATTACCAGTATGTCAACCTACACGTAAATAAAAGGATACTCATGAAAAATGTGAAAATTGTGATTCACTTATCTGTTACGCTAATGCTGAAAGTATCATAAAGATAATAGTCCTTTTATTTTAATTGGATTTATTTTATTTCGGTTTGACATCCTACATTGTTTTGTTTTCATGTTGCTTTTACGTTTTTTTTTACACCGATTTCAATCCTTAACTCACTCAGTAGTTTATCTCCATTGAATGTCCTGCCCTTTCCAAACTGTCAGACCATTGAATGGTCGATTTTATAATTGTTTCCACTATATACGAAACCTAATACGGCTTTTCTAAAGGTGCGTCCGCACTTTGGTGCAGATCAGACAACATATATACTTGGTCATATCTTTGGGAAGTTTTACTGTATGCTGAATATCGGAGACCCTCATTCAAGATTCTACAAAAGCACTACTAATTTACTCCTCAATTATTGGTTTTAAAAGTCTGTGTGTGGGGTGAAATATACATTTCCTTCGGCTGAATCTGGCCTTTTCCCTCTAGTTATTATTATTATTATTATTATTATTATTATTATTATTATTATTATAATTATTATAAGCTTTATTCAATATTATATTTTCGGTACAATATAGAATTCTCAGCACAAAGTATTTCAACAAGTTTCCGTTTCTTTCTTCTGGGTCGATCCTGACGATAAATATTGAGTGATAGCCAGTTAGATGTTAGCAGTCCAGTAAATAAACATCTGAATAATGTATATTCTTTTCTCTGCATATTGCCAGCGACTACATTATCTCTTATTGAGCTTTTAGTAACTTTGACAACAAAAGGTTGTAAACTTTTCAGAAATGCACAAGGATGAGTTATGCGATTAATATACAACATGATATATTAAAACAAACAAAAATAGATAACTTGTTGAAATATTTAGATGACAGGAACAGGTAGCCCAGATGCTCAAGCAGGCCTTGTTTAGGAACTAGGGTCAAATTGACGAAGACTGATTAGTCGTAAATATACTTCATAAGTAAAAATAAAATTATAAGAAAACGCTTTAGAGCTTAATGGTAGATTGTTTCAGTAGTATTGTTTGTTACTCGCTGAGCTTAGTTTTAATATCAACCTTTTTTTCCAAGTGCTATAAAGTACTTTCTTCATATTCGCTCAACAGACAAAGCAAGGGACTTTAAAAACTCTGGATGGATCAATAAAACGTCAGTACTCAGACGGACGTGTTACAAGTGTCAGCCTACGATGTACTGACCTAGATCAGGAAGTAAGCCTTATTTTCGTTTCTTACTGAGCGCCATAAAGTCCCTTTTTTCTTAGATGTTTTTGTGACAGTTTTTGATATTGGAATGGTTATTTCGCTTTTGAGTAGTCATGTGTAGATAAAACCAATTGTGACCTAACACATTCGTCTGTGTAACACTAGGATTATTATTTGTAGGTTGATGAATTCATGGTGAAAAATAAGTATGGCTGTATTTTCTGCCCCGAAAAAAGATAACATTCTTAATACAACCAAAATCCTGAAATATTCGTTGAAGTATGGCACAATTTTTATTCATCAAAAGAAAGAATTTCTTATTTCAGAAGTATGAAAGTAAGATTTCTTAAGAATAGTCATTGAATACACTAGTTAAGAGAACTTATACTAGGGAGTAACACGATAGTCTGCTGTAGCCTACAGTTATGGAATATATCTGCTAATACTGCACCATGTACATCTTCAAAGTGATGTTACCACTGAGTCAACAACATAAAATAAGAGTTTGATTTCTAGATAGTAAGGTGGTAATGCAACTAATAAAGTTCAGAATTCGTACACTAAATACAGCCTACGTTGTTTTATTCAATAATTTCTGTGGTTGTGGCTACGTTCTAAACTAATGGTTCGGCTTTTTATCTTTTGAAATTTGGTTAGATGGTTACAAGTTTGGGTGTATCAAAAGCTGTCTTGGAAAATGTTATCTTTTGTCACCAAGAAGATTCCAATTGGTCAGTTCCTATCTTTTAATGTGCTTTTGTTTCGCACTTATAATATCAGTTATTCTAATCCATATTTTGGTAGTATTTTGAATATTCCTTCTTGGAGGGGTTACTTGTTGCTCTAGCATTACCTTCGTCCATTGGAATCTCTTATTTCCAACTAAAAAAGAACATAACTATTCAGTTATCACACTCTAACCTGTGTAACTGGACATAAATCTCATTAGTCATGCATAATTCCTTGTTCCAGACAACGAATCAACTATTTTGCATGAATGCTAATGATAATACTTGACTGGGTAGGTGTTGTTATGTAAAGTGGAATTCAAATAGGCGTCTCTGTGATTGAAGTTCAATTGTTCTAGTTGTCTTAGGCATCGAAACTAACCAGATTCACTGATTTGAAAGGAAACTACTGTCTATCGAATGATCCTTTGAGAAAACATTTCTGAACAAATTACTTTACCGATGACTTGTCTCCCTAAATGACCTGGTCATTTAGAGGTTTGTGTCTACATACCGGATAATAACAGTAAGGAATAGCTGCTGTGTAAGCTTTCATTCAATGGCATCATGAAGTACACAAGGATATAACTTCTTGAGTCTCTTATTCCGGGATCCTACTTATTGTGTCAATTCAATATGACATAGCTAACCCTAAGACCTATTAAATATATTTTACATTTTGCAATAGTCCTTAACTGGCAATTTAAGTTGTATTGCAATTCACTATCTCTTGTTATACAGTTTCCCGTATCCTTCATTATAGGCCTTTACAAGAAGCGAAATCGGTAAAACAACGTTTCGACGATTTGTTTGCTTCATCACGTTATGTGAAAGCACTGGATGCCATTCGGAAGTGTAAACAAGACAATGTTAGTTATGAAACTTAGTAGCATTCAGAATTTTTCTTTCAATAATACGTGAATCAAGAGTTATACTTTTGATTTGAATTATAATGTTAGTTTTATTTAGGTATTTTACGAAAGGTTGTTCTTAACTTTCGAGACACTTCACAAATATTTAAAGTTTTTAAATTTAAGTGGCTATGAGAGTGCTTAACAGTCTCTGATCTGATAGATAATATTAGGTTTTGCTCGGTCGATATTCTTACCTATATCGTAATAATCTGTTTCTTAGACACTTTTAGGGGAGGTTAATAGCTCGATTTTTATATAAGTTCTCATCTTAATATTGTAATTTTAACCTTACATGGTAAATATGACGGATATCTTATCATAATATAGTTTTTTAGGGTTGTTCTGTTTCCCAATGTCGGATCATGCCAGTGACTCCGTTCTAATCACATGAAGAACTAAGTGCGTTTAGGTACTGGAGTTAAACATAATGTTCTGTTAGACTTTTTAATATATTCCACGTCCAGCCTTTATTTTCAGTTTAATTAATTGATTTGTCAATTATTTATTCGAACACAAACACTGGTTCAAGAGGGCACCAACCACATATACGCCACACATTAACGATGAAGTTGTGAAGAAACAGAGGGTTAACATTAAATGCACAGCCATTTTCGTTTTTTTTTCGAGTGAAATTTTTTTCATCCCTTTTGGAACAATTTTTCATCCCCATTTTCATTCTGTTTCGTCCAATCAAATAGCTAGTTTTGAGTTCATTATAATTGGTCGTTTATTTCTTAAAATCCATATAAAATACCCGGACTTGATGACAGAGCACATTTTCCTCCAATTATGTACGGTAGTAACATGCAAAGCACGAACTCGGTCGTTCCTCACTTTGTTACAGAAACCGATATGTGTTCAAATAAATAAATAAACCCAGATGCTGCTTCCAACTCGTCAGTATGCTTTGACTGCCAGGCTTCTCGGTCATTACGCAGGCTTTGCACAATTTCATTACGAAACAACCTCCGTTTGTCGTCATACTCGCGGTCACCTGAAGTCGACCTACGTGCTTTTATCAGTTGTAAGGAGCCTGTAGAAACATAATGTTTATAAGTGGGACGTTTCTCGAAGCCACAAGCGACTTTATTCGTTATTTCCATGGCGTCATGCAATTGCATTCAATGCTCATCTATACTTTTAAATGGGCTAATAGTTAGCCTTGAACCTTGTTGAGTTTGATATTTAGTTGCAACAGAAGCTGCAACCAATTTGCTGACACCAATCCTTTTAGGGTGATGAATTTGTTGTCCACTGATGCGTAAGATGGGATTAGCGCAAACAAGGGCATGATCATAGTCCACATAAGTACTCCTAAAGGAGCAGCAACTAATGCTAGCAGCACCAAACGAAGATGCCACAGTGTCCGTGTATAAACGCGCATAAAACAAGCTTTTTGAAGTGACAGATGGAGAGCGAATTTGTAGTACTTCACTAGAGTCTTGAATACGGGCCTCAGATAGACAACAGACATCAATGTTGAGATCTTCTAAAGTCATAGCAAACCCTATATGTTGCCCGATCCGCGTTAGTGTGGGAACTTTGAAGGAGGCCAGTTTGAATGGTATACGTGGTTTTCGAAAGACTGGTCCAGTATTGGTAGTCGGTGGTGGCATTCAACTTTCATCCAGTCAATGACTTGAGATCGTTTGGATAGGAAAGGGTTTCCACCATAGGTAAACTGCTGTACAAGTTGAAAAATAAAAGAATGCACAAAAATATACAAGTGATGTAGTATAAAAAAATAAACGAATGTTACCAAACGATTTTGAATGTGATTTGTCTAATTGCAAATTGAAGCGAGAATAACTTTTTCAGTTGTAATAATGATTTAATTTGTGTGTGGGCAAGGATACTTTCTATGCTCTCAGATTGAAGAAAATGGTTTTCTCAAGGGGCCAGTTGCCGAGCCTTTGACCTAGAGGTCTAATCCACAAGGCAGTGGATCAACGTTAGTAGGTGCAGTCAAATGGTATCGATTGACCATGTGCACCACTGGTTTGGAAACAGAGTCTTCTAAATCCTCTAGGTAGATCTTCCGTACCCACCAACCCGGTTAGAGCGCCAAACACTAGCTTTTCGTCTTCTCAATTTCGTAGACAACACCGCCTCGAGAATGAAGTGTGTAGGACTTCCCTGGCAGTGACTGTATACGCATGGTTATGTGAGAGCATTTCGAAAGTTAAAGCTGACTCGCCCCACTCTCGACCTGGATGCCTATCCCTTAGTTTAATAACGAGTTTGATATTGGAAAAAAGTAAAGCAGGTTTAACATAGACTCATAATCTATATTATTCAGCGTATTTTAAATGTACAATATTGTCAGTGTTACCTATTCAAATAAGTTCTCATAGGTCGGTGTTCAGGCCCAGATGGTTCAATCAACTTGCTTGATCGCAAATAGTGTTTAACGTATTAACCTGGACTGTTAATAATAATTTTATTTAATTTTGCCGTGATTATAACATAGTCGTATGTACTAAATGTGATTTTTCAGTCGTATAATAACAATGGCTACAAATTACCGTGTATATTATTACGTCCGGAATAGGTTTTTTATTAACGTATTTTATTTACTAAGAAATGGTTTTTGAGCCTGTAGGTTGCATCTACTTCAGTTTAAATGGTGGTGGTAATTTAGTTAACCGTCACAGTCTCCGTCCAGTTCATAGTTTAATATATTTTGCTCAAGGGTTATGGCAACTTGAGCATGTACACACGTACCAGGTTCTACGTTGGAACTAACTGACTGACTTAATGTGTAGATAATTGTTAGGTAATTGAATTAAAGTTCACTTCTTTTTTCCGTCATGATTTTCAAATTTCCGGATCTTTACTGGAAAAAAAGTTAGAATTCCCCTTATCATTTTGTCTTTATAGTATCAGTAAGTCATTTCCCAACTTCCGCTTAAAAACTTTTTCATTCAGGTTACCTTTTTTGTTTGTTTTACTGAACAACGATTTAAACAAGTCGATTAAATAAATAACATGTAATTCTTCTTTATTGAAGTTTAATTGAATAACACCTAACTAGTGTAGTTATTACCTGGTTTTGCACTGTATTTTCTATTTCTTTTCTATTATGAACTAATTAGTACAATGATTATTCTGTTGCCTTTAAGTTCTTGCTAATTTCTCTTTCTACAGGATGGCAATGTTAAATTATATAAAACTGAGTTGAAACATTTAACCAAAAATCGTGATGAAGCTTTGAAAGTAAATCATTTTTATTTCTATTCGTTTATGTTTAAATTTGCACAAATTGTTTGATGGTAGAAGGCTGAAGGAGGAATTATTCTCATAATATTTTATAGTGAAAATCTAACGTTCATGTAATCATAAATGGTATTCGTTTTTATTTGAACTATTTATTTTCCATTGGTTTTATAATATTTCAGGTTTCTAGATGACAATAAAAATATTAGTTTAATCTATCTTTCAGATTATAGGTATCAATGCCAAAGGTTGACTTGATAGTTTCAAATAAATTGAGCATTGGGTAGAAAGTTAATAATAGATTTATTTTTGTTGTATCCCAGTGAGTTGAAAAATTGTACTTCTGACGTTGGGTGATTTAATGTAAGCCACTTCTTTAAAGTGCATAAATAATTTGATTTGGTTATTTATTTACTCTGAAGAAGTGGCTTCCATTAGGCCACTAAACGTCAGAAGTATGATTCTTCTACTCATTAGGATAAAGAACAAAATATATTTATTATCTTTTAGAATAATTCAGTTCTTTTGCTCAAGGTTAAAACGAACCAAATGACTTAAGTTGTAAACAACGCTTTGATGTATTGTATTGATTGTTGAATATTTACATCTAGTCAACTGAGTTTTTTTCATCAACATAATCTGTCATCGTGAAAGATTTGTTCATATTTAAGCGGTACAGTGTGATCGTTTCTGTAAACTGAATTGACTTTAATCTTCAAATAGTCATATATTTCTTTATCATTCTAAAGATTCTTCCTGATATTTGAATTTTTTGGTGATCATTCTCTCATATGTAACACTATGTATACTATAGTTTATATTACAGACCGATTCTAGTTAAAAAAGATACCAATGGAAACCAAGAAACAATGAACAGTTGCCTCATCCTAACATGAGACTCACGTCCTCACCGGTGTCGAAGTTAGATATACAGACTGTTGAATGCTATTTCAGTGGTCGAAAGGTTAAATACTCACGATGGGACCCGGAGACCCTTTGTTCTATTCCAAGGGGGTCGTGAATTGAGACTTGTGACAACTCCTATACTAATACACAACAGTTGTCCTGTGCTTCCCGGTCTTACATTGCTGTTTTACTAAAACCAGTTCGTTATACAAATTGCAGAACTCAACAATCTCCACAACAACCTTTAATAAGAATTCAATATGTAGTTGAATTATGGAATATTTGGAAACATTCCAATTGATATTAATCTCGTAATTGTAAAATTCTACATTTCTTATAACTTGATATCTGAAGTATTTTATGGCATTATTCATTAATAATTTTACTATGAGTGGAATTCTATCATTAACAGAAATATACATATTCATGTTATTGTTCTATTTCAGCTTCGTTCTGAACGAGAAGAAACACTTCATTCAATTGAAAAACAGGAAAAAAATCTAGAAGAAATATCTGCAAAGCTTCAACCTGTCGTTGTAAGTAGAGTCAACTATCCGCTAATTGATTATTATTTTTTTATTCATGTTAAGAAAATTAGATCACTAACTTGTTCCTTCATATTCGAAGGTAGTTTCACTTTTAACTAAATATAAATGAAGGCATATTTATCACACAATCAGTTGTATAAATATGAAAAAATTGTCAATTAAAGTCAATGAGACCTAACTTTTAAAATACTTATTGGCTGTCAAGAATTTTGATTAAAGCTGCTTAAAAATCAACTTGGGTTTACTTTATGTATTTATCACACAAAAAAAATACTTTATACAACACAACACTGAGAAATAGAGTGTTCGACATGAGTAATTATTCATAGCATGTCAAAATATTCTGAACAAATCGTAACAGTTATTATATTATGAATTTTCCGACTATATGGGACGTTGTCGTTTTACATATTACCAACAAGTGTACTTTTCAGCCTCAAAACTATCCCGGAATATGTTTCAGTATTGTTTTCACTTATTGTAACGAAATAATCTTTCTGCGGTTTTCTAAGAATCTTTATTTGGTCGTCTAAACAAAACCATTGAAAGGTAACCGTGTGATTTTTAAAAAAAACACCGATTTCGAGATCCACTTGTAGAAATTATTTCACTTTTCAAACCTAAAATCCTGTAATAAATCTAAATTCCTTTCAATGTTCTAGAGTGCACTTAAATATATATTATTAGCTTTATGATACAATCTACTAAAGACGAGTTCCTTTACTGTGTCTTAAGTCTTTCGTATATGCTGATGGTCTATGAAGCATATAATAATAGCTGGTGACTTGGTTGCGTTGATCAGTATCTATCATACTGTGTTGTTATTTGTACATTAGAATTGCATGTAAATAAAAATAGTGATTTTTATTTTAGTTTTCGGTGGCGTATTGTTCTCTGAGCTAGATGGTTTGGTCGTGGAGCTTTCATCGTCCTTCTGAACGACATCATTAGCACCAAATTCAGGTAGAAGTGAAGTGTTCGAATTTCTCTACATATGGCTCACAGGTTATCCTGTAGACCTTGATGTTGATTGGTTATTGTTGACGTTTAACCTATCATTGTTTACTTTTTTATTTCGATTGTATCTTCCATCGGTTTGATTCTTGGCCTTATATTTGTCCATAATTTTTGTGATCGGTTGATAGATTAGATCAGTTTCAGTGTGTTTGATGATTACCGATTGACCTGAGTGCCAAGCTTCTAAAACATTCTGTGGTGTTTTTACAATTACCTCTATCCAAGATCTTAACATTTTTTCAATCGAATGTGTGTCCACAGTTTTCCAGATTCATTTATATAAGCGAGGATATTTCATGGCACTAGACCGCCGATTGGCGTTTATGCAGGCGAATATGAAGAGAGCGTCCACTTTGTCCGATGTAGTGTTTTTCGCAGTTGGAACAATTTATTTTGTAAATTATTTTCAGTTATTTTTCTTTTGTCATTTGGTTGGCATAGGACTGATTGAAGCTATTTTGTTGGTCTGTGTGCTACATCTATTCTAAAAGACCTCAACACTCTCGTAATTTCTGATATGTCTTTTATGTATGGTAGGATGATCCGTCTGTTGGTTTCTGTACTTGACTTGTTTCTGCTGATACGTTTGGTTGGTATTTTTTGATAAAATTGATTCGGTAAACGTTCCTTTGAATGATAGTCTCTAGATATCTTTTTTCATTTTTCCGCGATGCAGGTGTGTAGCAGTGTCTCCTCGTTCCTTTGAATAAAGTTTGTACGCAGTTAATTGTGTGAGTTCTTGGATTGTTGCTACTGTGATTGAGAATTTGAAATGTGTGGACCGGCTTCCGGTATACTTGAGTCTCCAGTTTTCTTGTGTTGGTTCTGCTGATTGATACATCTAAGAACTATAGCTTGTTGATTGGCCCTCGTTCCATTGTGAATTTTATGTCATCGAAGACGTTGTTGACCAGATTGTCGGTGTTTTCCAGCTCGTAATTTTAGACGATGACGAATGTGTTGTGTTTATAACTATACAAAGCTTACATATTGATGAAATTCAGTATGAAGATTTATCACAGCTTGCAAGAAGTCTATCACAGTTTATCGCAGTTGACTTCAGTTGGGACTAGAAGTTATTCTTTATTCACAGACGGGTCTTGTCCATTACCGAGATGTCGTTCATAGTCATACGACATGTCTTGTCATTTCATCGGTTTTTCCTGTAACTACACTTCTCATTTAGCTAATATTATTTACGTTAGAATTTTTAAGGGATTAAGAGGTATTTTGATAATTCTACTTTGTTGACTAATGCTATGTTCGTAGGCACAATTCAACATTGCTACGCAAACTATCCTTTTGATCTGAAACTGAGATCATAACTTGAGTGGTTTCAAATCTTGGGATAAACATGTTTCGATGTGGTGTACTCGGCTTAGGAGTGTTCAGCGATTGGAGGGTAGACCGTTTCTTGTCAATATATAGCTATTGGATTCACGATGACTTTTGACATATATATTTGTACATTCATAACAGAATAGGACTCGCTTTAGAATTCAGTACTGTAAAAAGTTTGAAAAATCGTTCGTTTATAAGAACACTATAATGTTCTTCCCGGAATGTTCCTTTCCTATCCTTTAAATGAGATTGTTTTGCTTAGTTTTGACACCTAGGAAAGTTTATAATGAAGTGTTCGGTTTACATTTTACATACCAATAAATTTCATTTAATTACAGTCGATACATGATTGAAGCTAACCCCCTCCAAAGTTTATTTTAAAATTGAACGGGTAACTCTTAAGCCGTGACCAGTGGAGTTCAACTGTGTCGGGTGTGAGGCAGTTACTCACCGAAGACAATGGAATATGGTCGTGCAGTTTCGTGAACTGGTTAAAGTTAGACGCTAACACAACTCCGCCTGAAGTCCCTCCGGGGGCTACTGCCTGTCCCAAGCCCGGATAAAGAAGGAGGGTTGGGCATAGGGTTAGCGTCCCCATCCCGTAGAAAACTAACTCGCTAAAACAACGCTAATCAGAAAAAATATTTCAAACCATTTAAACTCTGTCCCGGGAGTCAGGCCTTCGTTTAGAAGAGTTATGACGCCTCATGATGAAAGCTGAATTCCTTCGGAAGTTACGAGGCCGATGCTCCTTCTGACAACCAGAGCAACCATTTATTTAGGTACATGGAGTGTTCGTACAATGTGGGACACCGGGAGAGCCTTCCAAATTGCTGCAGAAATGAGAAGATACAACCTACAGGTGCTTGGGATCAGTAAAACACATTGGACGCAAGTTGGACAACAACAACTAACTTCAGGGGAGCTTCTGCTATACTCCGACCATGATGAAAAAAAGCCCCCCACACACAAGGAGTTGCATTGATGCTGTCCAAACAAGCACAAACGGCACTTATAGGATGGGAATCTCATGGACCAAGGATCATCAAAGCCTCCTTCAAAACAAAGAAAGAGGGCATTTCAATGAACATCATCCAATGCTATGCGCCTACCAACGACTACAATGAAGACGCTAAAGATCAATTCTACAATAGGCTGCAGTCAATCGTTGAGAAGTGCCCAACAAAGGACCTGACCATTCTGATGGGAGATTTCAACGCCAAGGTTGGAACGGACAACACTGGATATGAAGACATCATGGGACGACACGGACTGGGAGAAAGAAACGAAAATGGTGAGAGATTTGCAAATCTATGTGCCTTCAATAAGCTGGTCATAGGCGGCACCATATTCCCACATAAACACATACACAAAACCACATGGCTTCACCGGATCACACCACGCAAAACCAAATCGACCATATTTGCATCAATAAAACGTTCAAGAGGATTATAGAGGACGTGAGAACCAAGAGAGGAGCTGATATAGCATCAGATCATCACTTGGTGGTCGCCAAGATGAAATTGAAACTCAAGAAGCACTGGACAATGGGGTGGACAATATCGCAAAAGTTCAATACGGCCTTTCTTCAGGATACTAGCAAACTCAACAAATTCAAGATAGTTCTCAGCAACAAGTTCCAGGCCTTTCATGATCTACTCAATGGAGAAGGAACTACTGTGGAGAGCAACTGGAAGGGGATCAAGGAGGCAATCACTTCAACATGTCATGAGGTCCTGGGTCACAAGAAGCACCACCATAGGGAATGGATCACTGTTGATACACTGGATAAGACTCAAGAAAGGAGGAACAAGTAAGCAGCAATCAATACCAGCCGAACAAGAGCAGAAAAAGCCAAGGCACAAGCTGAATACACAGAAGTAAACAAACAAGTGAAGAGGAGCATCAGGACTGACAAACGTAAATATGTGGAAGATTTAGCAACGACGGTGGAAAAGGCTGCAAGAGAAGGAAACATGAGATGACTGTATGACACGACAAAGAGACTCTCTGGAAATCGCCGTAAACCAGAACAACAATTGAAAAGCAAGGAAGGCGAGGTAATCACCAACATTGAAGAACAACGAAACAGGTGGGTAGAACACTTCAAAGAATTCTTGAATCGACCAGCTCCACTGAACCCACCCAACATCGAAGCAGCACGCACGGACCTTCCAATCAATGTTGGCCCACCAACAATTGAAGAAATCAGCATGGCCATCAGACAAATCAAGAGTGGCAAAGTAGCAGGACCAGACAACATTCCAGCAGAGGCACTAAAAGCAGACGTAGTGGCAACTGCAAGGATACTCCACATTATATTCAATAAGATTTGGGATGAGGAACAAGTACGAAAAGACTGGAAAGAAGGACTTCTGATCAAAATACCGAAGAAAGGCGATCTCAGCAAGTGTGATAACTACAGGGGCATCACTCTTCTCTCAATACCGGGAAAAGTCTTCAACAGGGTATTGTTAAACAGAATGAAGGACTCCGTAGACGTCCAACTTCGAGATCAGCAGGTTGAATTCCGTAAGGATAGATCGTGTACAGACCAAATCACAACTCTACAGATCATTGTGGAACAATCAATTGAACGGAATTCATCGCTCTACATCAACTTCATTGACTACGAAAAGGCATTTGATAGCGTGGACAGAACAACACTATGGAAGCTTCTTCGACACTACGGCGTGCCTCAGAAGATAGTCAATATCATACAGAACTCATATAATGGATTACACTGCAAAATTGTGCATGGAGGACAGTTGACAAAGTCGTTCGAAGTGAAGACCGGTGTTAGGCAAGGTTGCTTACTCCCATCCTTTCTCCTTCTCCTAGTGATCGACTGGATCATGAAGACGTCAACTTCTGAAGGGAAGCACGGGATACAATGGACATCTAGGATGCAGTTGGATGATCTAGACTTCGCAGATGATCTGGCCCTTCTATCGCACGTGCAAAAACAAATGCAGGAGAAGACGAACAGTGTGGCAGCAGCCTCAGCAGCAGTAGGTCTCAATATACACAAAAGGAAAAGCAGGATTCTCCGATTTATTTATTTATTTATTTAAACACATAAATATTGGTACAGGAGGGCACCAAATATATATGCGCCACACAAAACAATGAGAATTTGCAGAGAAGGAAAAAAAAGTAAGGAGTGTAAAAAAACGATAACGAACAGATCAGTGTAAGGTAGTGTAATAATCATAATGGGGGAAACAGAAACGTACACTCAGAAGAGATCTTTCAGTTAAGGAAGAAGCAACCACTTTTTATGAAGAAAGTAAAAGGTTACAGCAGGATCGCCACTGGCTTCTATTCTGAGCCATATCTGATAACGTCTCTACTCGAAAACGTTTAGATAGAACCGAATTTCCACCATAGACGAGCTGCTGTATAAGTCGAGAAATAAGGATAGACAGAGTAGGAATAAAAGAGAGTGAATAAATGACGTAGTAAATAATAACAATAGTAATAATAATGTGAATCGTTTGATTAACAGTTGAAGCAAGAAGAGTATTTTTCATAATTATCGACAGTTCTTCATGTTTGTGTGCGGGCTGTGATACTGCTCGGATGCCCAGACCGAAGCAGGTGGTTATCTTAGGGGGCCACACCCCGAGCCTTTGACCTAAAGGTCTAACCCACAAGGCAGTGGAGCATCGTAAGGAGATGCAGTCCCATGGTAGCCGGTGACCAACGATTGGTTCATACGTCATTCGTTCCCGCAGGATACTGGAGCCCATGTGCACCATTGATTTGGAATCCGGTTAAAGCGCCGGATATTCGCTTTTCGTCCTCTCATTTTCGTAAACAACACCCCTGCCACGAGAAGGCAGTGAGTAGGACTTCCCGGGCAGAGGCTGTATACGCGTGGCCGTGTGAGAGTATTTCGAGAGAGAGGGCGAGCCCGCCCCACTCTCAGCCATACCAGGGCATTTGGGGGCCGGGAGATTGTAAAAACCTTTACATATCTGGGCAGCATCATCGATGAACACGGTGGATCTGATGCAGATGTGAAGGCGCGGATCGGCAAAGCAAGAGCAGCATATTGACAACTGAGGAACATCTGGAACTCAAAACAACTGTCAACCAACATCAATGTCAGGATTTTCAAAACAAATGTCAAGACAGTTCTACTATATGAGGCGGAAACCTGGAGATCTACGAAAGCCATCATCCAGAATATACAGGTGTTTATTAACAATAGTCTACGCAAAATACTTCGGATCCGTTGGCCAGACACTATTAGCAACAACGTACTGTGGGAGAGAACAAATCGGATCCCAGCGGAGGAAGAAATCAGGAAGAAGCGCTGGAAGTGGATAGGACACACATTGAGGAATGCACTCAACTGCGTCACAGGACAAGACGTCACATGGAATCCTGAAGGTCAAAGGAAAAGAGGAAGACCAAAGAACATATTACGCCGAGAAATGGAAATAGACATGAGAGAAATGAACAAGAATTGGATGGAACTAGAGAAGAAGGCCCAAGACAGAGTGGGTTGGAGAATGCTGGTCGGCGGCCTATGCTCCATTGGGAGTACCAGGCGTAAGTAAGTAAGTAAGACACTAACACCATTGGATCCCGGCTCAACGGTCTAGAGGTTAGGCGTTTGGGCGCGAGACAGAAGGTCCTTGGTCTTAATCTCGCGTGCGAAGTTGTGGACGCACACTGCTGGGGAGTCCCGTACCAGGACGAAATGGTCATCCGTCGCTTCCAGGTTTCCATTGGTGGCCTAAGATTGGTCGGCTCATGATCTCAACTTAAAATTCTAAGTTATGTATCTGTCAGCTAGTGTACAAGATTTACTTATGAGGGTTATCCTGTATAATTTAATCACTAGCTTTGAACTTTGTGTCTTAAAAGATTGAGTATTATAACACTGTAAATTAATAGAAAATTTATTTTTGGTCTAAAGGAACAACTCAACCGTTATAAAGAACGCTACGCAGAACTAACAAAACTACAAGCTGAAATCAGTAAGTTTTTAACATTTCCATTTTGTAGTTCTTAGGTATGAATACCGAGGCTCGGGTTGGTAGTTTCAAATAAATTGAGCAATTGGTTAGAAGGTTAATAATAATAATAGTACTTTATTATTATTATTATTATTATTATTATTATTATTATTATTATTATTATTACTATCATAATTTTATGATATCAATCAGTAGAAATTTGTATTACTGACTTTTCGTTTCTTTTATGTCCATAAATGTCATTTTCGATGAATATGTAAAATCTAAATTTTATGTATCTTGTTTCCTAGAATCGACCAGAAAATAATTGATATTTATGTTCATATTATTTATATTATTAAATGTGTTTCATTTATTAATCATTAAAATTCGAAAGAATGAGATCTGGTTTAAGATCTTCCTGTATACTAACTTTAACTGTCTGTTCATTTTAGTGGTTTTAAACTAGAACTTGTTAACAAATTGGATCTTTTTAAAAAATTTTTTGCAGAGTCTTGTGAAGCTGAACGTGCTCATTTAACAGACACAATAAATAATTTAATGTTAAACATACAGAACGAGTATCAAGGTAACAATTCCAGTAATCCACTCAATTTTTTCTGCTGATTTCTTGTTGTTTGATATCCTCTCGTAACCACTGTTATTAATTATTGAGCAGATGTTAATTTTCAGCTTTACTATACCATTCAGAAGATTCAGACAATACAATATTGTCTGTTTGTAATCTATATGTACGTCTGGACAGGCTATAACCAGTCAGGTTGTATGCTTGAAATCCCGATCTCAACTACTGAACATTCTCGTAGTATATCTAGCCTCCTTCAACTTTTGTGATTTAAGAGTTAGCGTACAAATATTTGTTTGTTTGTTAAGCACCATTTAAACTATTTACAGAGAACCCAATCTTTTCATTATCTTTTCGAAATTGAACTACCGTCGAATCGCTAAGTTAATATGTAGTAGTCTATCCTTCCCATCTTAGTCAATAATGGTGTGGTTACTTTTTATACAAATAATGGTTCCCGGATAGTTTTGATTATTACTTGAGTTGATTTTGACTTATTATGAAAAATAATCAACAATTAATAGAATAGGAAATCTGTGGAGATTGTTGAATTTTATAGTTCACACCGTGAACTAACTTTCATGCACACTGGCGACTAATTTCAAGAGGTAATCCTCTGAGTTTTCGTTAGGAGCCGTGATCAGTGGCATTCAACCATGTTGAGTGTGAGACAGCTATACATCAACACTGATAAAGATGGCTGCACAATAATACGGATTGATTAAAGTTAGACTTGTAAACCATTGGATGCCGGCTCAGTGGTTTAATGGTCAAACACTCCTCATTAGACCTGGAGATAGTGAGTTCGATATCGTGGAGGATCGTAGATGCTAGCTACTGAGGATTCCTATTTTAAAATAAAACAGTTGTCCAGTGCTACTGCGTTTTTTTATGTCTGTCTAACTAAGTTTAGTCTTCTGTCAGCTGTAACCAATAATAATCATTTAATTTACTGGAAATTATGCAATTAAATTCTGATCTGTAAACATTTTCCAATATTTGTCTGATAATGTTCTGTAGCCTAGTTCTTTTTATTAAAGGAAGTGATGAAGAATTAAAGCGTTTGATTGAAGATGCTGAGACAGAATACGAAAAGAAAATTTTTCTGTTGAATCAAGTTAGTGTATTTTATCTTCATACTGTCAATGAAATGTATAATGACTCTCATCGGTAAGGGAATTTGTGGAGAATGTAGTATTTTAACAGTCGAACTCACGAGCCGATCTAAGCTAGACTACCATTAAAAACCTGGAACAACTGGACGGCCGCTTCGTCCAAGTGTGGGACTCCTCAGCAGTACCCATCAAGGTTTTCAACGGTGATCTAGCTTTGATCGACTCGTGAATTCAACTGTTAAAAGACTTATCTAGCTTATTGTAATACCATTGAACTCATTATAAATAGACAAATAGATGCACAGTTACTAATTTTCGTTACAAAGATTCAATAACACTAAACACATCCACAATGAATATCACTTATTTGTTAAACCTTAAAAATTTCTGCAGTGAAATTGTTCATATTTCTTTATCTATTCTTTTGTTGTGACCCATCAATAATATTGCTAATAATTTCACTGAATTTTCTCTAGCCATATCAATTAGAAAGAAATTAGTTTATGAGGTTTGGAAAATCAAAACTAAGTCAAATATATTTCGCTTAACATTCAAAGTGGTTCGTTGAATATGGTGTTTGCAAATGGTTTCAGTTAGGGAATTTTGTTTACTGTCATGACATTCCAGGTAGTTTTTTTGTTCTTCATCAAGAATATGTAATTTCATGATCATCGTACGTCCTCTGTGTATACTCATTCATTTGTTTTTCATTAGCTCCACTTCTCATATCTCATTTGTTATTTAACTTTCCAGTCTGAAAATATATTACAAAGAAAACGTAAAGAGTTAAATACTTTGGAAACGAATCAAACAAAAACTATTGTTGAGAAAACACAAATTGAAATGGAGGTTAAGGTAAAATGGTTTGTGTATTTTCTCTTCTGAATATACTGTATACTGAATCATTTTGTGTGAATTCCTTATTCTATTCATAATTTTTGTTGTTACTAGAAAATGCTGACTAATTCTTTCGGTTTCTCATGATTCTGTACTTTTGTTGAAAAAAAGTATTGTAACATTAAGGAATAAATCCAACATTTCGCTCGTTACAAGCTTTTTCAAGGAGATGTAATCAAATACCAAAATTACCGAATATAAATAACCTATGACTTTCAGTCACTCAGCTGGAATCCAACGGTGTTAATTTCTATCTTCAACCAAGTTGCGATGTTGCACAACCGTCTCCCATTGTTTTCAGTGGGTGACCGCCTCACACCCGACACGACTAAACTCCCCTGGTTATGGCTTCTCACTTAAACTCAGACAATTACCTCTCAAAGCTAGTCAATAGTGAACACGTGATAATTTGCAGTTTGAGGTTGTGAAAGTCTCTAAATTTAACTGAAATCGTGAACTGATCAGTGTTAAACCACTATTTGAAATCTGGAAGCACTGAATAAAGTTAGACATTAACACTTTTGGGTGCCGGCTCAATGGTCTAGAGAGGTTAGGCGTTTGAACCGCTTGTGCGAGATCGTGGATGCGCACTGCTGACTAGTCCCATACTAGGACGTATTGTGACTTTATGTCCGGCTTTTTATCACGTGATTTATCCACCAATCGAAATAAAACTTATACAATCTTAGGACTGTACCAAACCAATGACGTTCAACCGGTATGAGCAGCCTAACTTCCTTATTGATCCTATGTTCGTCCATCCCATCCACTTGAGTCCAGAACACCAATAGCAGCTTCCACTATGCGAATAGAATCGAATCATTTATTTCAGACATACTGGGTTTATATATCAAACAAACAGACCGCAACGCACCATAAAATAGGAAATAACATTTGTACACAATAAAACCAAAAAGTGGCTGCGAACGTAGGAGTCAGTAGTCAATAAACTGAACATAGCTTAAGAACAGTAAATAGTACAATAATAATATATAGGTCAAAGTAAAGCTTATAACAAAAGAAATATAGATATACATAATCTAGTTACTGAATATTTATACCATGAGAATATATAAATAATATTAGTCCATTAATAAGTCTCAGACGTTACTCGTAATGTAATCTTCACTAGGATATAACAGGACGGAACGGCCGTTCGGTGCTTTAAGATTTTCATTGTTGGCGCAGCATTGATTAGTTGATGATTTCGATGAAATTTAACAATCTCCACAACCCAAAATCGAAGAAAATACATCAGTACATGGTTCTCTAGTTAACTGTATACCATACAGGTCATCCAATCATGTGAACAATGTTGGAAGTAAGAATTTGTTGTACGTACAGAACATCCAATGTGTAAAGAAAAGTGTGTCAAGATAACAGTTGTATGTATATACAAGTGGATCTGAGGTTAAAGAAAAATGTCACTGACTATATACCACCACTGATCGGCGAATTTTTGATGAAATCGATTAACTTTATAGATAATGTAAGTCAAGAATGTCTTAGATTGCGTAAAATGAAGGTAAATAAATAAAAATAAATGTTTGATCAAATATTTGATCATGTATTTAGATAAACCAACTGTTCAGAACAGCTGAAGGTAGTTGTTCAGATAATAAGTGAGATTAAATGAAGTGAAATGTAATAGGGAGTTCGGGTTTACTTATTAATTGTTAGTCACCCCATGGTAACTAATTGTAATCCATCTCTCCTAGTAATACTTTTTGGATGAATCGTATGAATAATCTATGCAGTTACAGTATGAATACAATCAAGATATATCTTATTTTTGAGGAAAAAACATCTTACTGTTTATGAAAAGTGTATTTAAAAACTATCACAGGATCGTCACTACCTTCTAGTCCAAGTCATGTTGGAATACGTCTCAACTAGTTGAGTTGCAAAAACTGTATAACTCTATCTAGACATTTGCAAATTCAGTGTAACTGCCTTATTCTAGTATTATCTATTTAATGAGTTTTAAACTAAGCTTTGATCGTATTTTTATCGTATATCGGTAGATTAAGATTACAAATTAGTGTTATCAGTTGTTAGAGTGCATAAATTCTATTTTAGTGTTGATTATGTTTCAAAAGATAAGAATAATTTTTAAGTTTAGCCTAATTATCATTTTAAATTTTTATCTCCGTCCATCATAAAGTATACTATCTTAAATTTCTTAGCGTTTGAATGAAGCAATAATCAATCGTGATATGATCTTAGCCTCGATCGTTACAAATTACATTCCCGGTATGTTTTAATAATTCCCTTAAGTTATACGAAAATTTAATCGTGTCTAAGAAATTACAATACAAATAAATTATTTTATAAAAAATTATTCAGCATCATTTTTGTTTTCAAGGAAAAATTTTTTTAATTACATTATAAAACAATTAATTCAATGAAATTCTATTCAACAAGTTCATCTGTACCAGAATAAAACAACTGTTCATTTACTTCCATGTTTTCAATAGTATTAACATTGAAGTCAATTCATGAAGAAGAAAATGATCCACAAATTGTTTATTTGTAATTAATACAAATGATATTGAGTAGTGATGAGGTTGAATCGAATATCAATGAGAGACGGGGGTATAATATGACAACGATTAAGGTAAAAAGAAGACTAAATCTAGCATTAACTGAATAGTTGAAATAAAAGGCATATCATCTAAATGATAATGAACAATTAAAAATTCTGTTTGTTTAAAATGATTGTTTACCTTCGAACATTGTTCCTTTTATCGAATTAATTGTTACATAGTTTGTTATAAGTTCTCTGAGTTAGTTAATATATAAAATAAGGTTTATTTATTTACTTAAACATAAACATTGGTACAAGGATGCACCAAATGTATATACGCCACACAAATCATTCGATTTCTGTAAGTGCTCAGATTTTGTCAGGGCGCCCGAATCGAAGCAGGTGGTTTCCTTGGGTGGCCAGTCCCCGAGCCCTTGACCTAGAGGTCTTATCCAAAACTCAGTGGATCAACGTTGGGAGGTTCAGTCTCACGGTAGCCAGTGACCAACAATAGGTTCATATCCCTTTTGTTCCGTCAGGATCCTGGAACCCATGTGCACCACTAGTTTGTGAACAGGGTATTCTAACTCCCCTAAGTAGATCTTCCGTACTCATTAACCCGGTTGGAGCACTGACCATTAGCTTTTCGTCCTCTCAATCTCGTAGACAACACCTCCGCCTCGAGAATGAAGTGAGTAGAACTTCCTTAGAAGTGGCTGTACACTCCAGACCTTGTGAGAGCATTTCAACTCCCTGCTCTCAACCGTACCGTATTAGGGGCATATATTTAAATAATGTATCATTTACATAAATGGAAGAGTTTTATTATATTTTTGATATACTATACACATAAATTGTCTCTGAAATCTATTAATAGCAACAGTGTAGAAATGTCTATTGTATTACTTATTGTATTGATTCTTTTAACACTGAGTATTACTTAATATATGTATGTATTTCAGCATATTGGTCATGATGTTTTAATATGAATTAACTTAAATACTTCTTTTTACATAATGAAGATGATTGTTTCGTTATATATGTTGTTATTTATACCAGGTGATAAGTATGCAGACGTGAAACAATTCACCGATGAGGATGTGGAGTATATTGTGCAGTTCGTTGATGGATTACTACATGAACATGAAAATCAATTAACAGAAGTGAAGGTAAGATTGTGCACTTCAAAATGTGTGGAACACTTGATTGTTGTATATCTTCAGTATTTTTTTCTGTGCTTTCTGTATTGCGTAGTTATGATGTACTACTTATGATTTTCTTATGAGGTTATTTTGTCCAACTAGATATAAAATGTTCGTTTGTCATTGGGTTGAAATGAGCTTTCAGTTTACAAAAGTGCCTGACACTTTGATGGTAGAAATTACTCCCTATACATACCGGCACTGATTGCTAACTAGTATGCTATTTAAGTAACCTGTATGTTGTTATATTATAAATTTTATTCTGGCATATAGAATCAATGGTTCTATTGTCTAGTCGCAATTCGTAAAAAACTCATGTTTTATTGAGTTTTAAGGTTAACCCATAAATTATAAGTGAATCTTCTGATAGTTATTTATTTTCTTTGACTAACCAGTTAATGACAGCTGAACTAACAGGTTATTCATTTTCTATGGACAATATTACAAAATACAGCGGAATTTTTATTTTTAATGTGGGGGATTTGTAGAAGCTGTAGAATTTTCACAGTTTTAAATCACGAACTGATCATGTACTCACTAGTGACTAGCTTCAAGATGGATTTTCTGAAGATCTAGTAAGAAGCCGTGGTCGCTAGGGTTCAAACTTTGTTGGAAATGTTTCCACTGTCAAAATGGATAAGGGTTGATCAATATCATGAATTGACTGAACTTAGACATCAGCACCGTTGAATGCTGGGCTATCGGTCTAGAGGTTAGACGTTCTCACACGAGACTGCAGCTTCTGGATTCTATTTCTGGAAGTGATATGGTTGTCTAGTGCTTCGGTGTTTTACAATGTTGATCTGACTAAAATCAGTTTGAGATTTAAAATTGAACAACATTTTCTAGAATCCATTCATCCTTTGACATTATTTTTAAAAAAAAATTGATGTACGATGTTTCCTGTTATTGTTACTTATCGATAAGGGTAATAAAATTTATTTTAACCACATCAAATTATGGTCCATAATTATTCTCTCAAATAAAAACACTCGGCGAGGCTATAATTTATGAACAAACCAACCAGATTTAAGATAACATGTCTTGGATTTTGGCACGAAACCCCTTCATTCATTTGGCTGAATATCATTTTAGCATTATAGCTGATGTCAGTTCGTAATGGAAAGATTAAAGCTTGTTACTAGCATTAATGTTCAATTATAAATCCTAATCCCTCATACTAACCTGTGATCCTCATTTAACCATAGTAAGTAAGTGGACATTCCATGGTCATAGGTCGTCCGTAAATTTTAATCTCACCAAGTGCTCAATTGGAGATCATAAAATGTATATTTTATAACATTTAGAATATATCAATTTTTTTATTATTCCTTTGAAAAATTTCCTCATTTTATAGATATTCATTTATTTAATTTTTGTTTCAATTCTTCAAAAGCCTCCCTGAAAGACCATAGAAATTAAATTTTTCAGTTTTAATTTCTTCTGTTGTTCAGTACTACATTTTCACATTTTGTAGATTATTTTCCTTTGATTCTATTGTTCCATTGAAAAATAAAAATTTAATTTACTTAGAAAATTTTTTCCGAATTACTTTGATATATTTTTTCCTAATAAAGCTGATGAAGAAAATAATTGTGGAAAAGTTTAGATGTTGTAGTTTTGTCGTTCTAACTTTAATGAATTGTGATTATTTTAATCTGTATGGTGGTGTTCGTTAATAGTTGGCTCCATCATTAAAATTCAGGGGCGACTTGGTAGGTACTTATTCCTAGTATCGATCTCTTCTGCAGTTAGCATTCATAACCCACCAGGGATCAAAACCCAGGACCTTTTGGCTACACAATGAAAGCCATACCACTAGACCAGTTACGTATACTAAGTACATATTAAGATGAAACACTTGAGATCAATTCGTGATGAATACATCACCTGTAGAATAATGAATTGTCTTCTTCATACACATTTCTTCTGAATAAAAGTATTTTTTTTTCGTTGCATGAATTCTGAAATTATTACTTCTTTCAATGTTTTGTCTTTTCATTTAGCTGCTATCGGCTAATGAAGAGAGGAAAGCTCAAACTGATGTTGATGTTGTTCGAGATGAATTGGCTGCTCTAAAACAAAAAATACAAACTATAAAACGTAATTATGTATGCTAACGTTATTATATATTTTTTCTTCTATTTGGTGACGCAATTCATTACCTTTTATTCTTTAGTTGTCTTTATATCCAAACTATTCTATGGATAAAATGATGATATTATTTCAGAAAAAGATTACCATGATGATTCACATATCTTTTGAAAGATATCGCTGCAATTGTTAGTAAATATGAAGTAGAAAAATAGAGTACAAAAGGTTATGTTTTAATTACAATAGCTCTGGAACGGAAAAGATTATGACAGTGAATCATACATTAAACAAAAGCTTATAGTTTATAGAATAAACTAGGGATAAAACTAAATGTTAGCATTTTACAAATTTTGTATTGAAATAACGTCTCAAAAAGTAGATTCCGTTACTTGTCATGGCATCGTTATTTCTCTGCTCACATCATATAGGTTCTTTACAAAAGATTAACAAGTTTACATAAAGTCAGTCATATAAGAAATTGTATAAATATTTTTTTCTTAAATTAGAATCAACGATCATGTGAAATGATTAGTGTTGAAAAACGCTTAGAAAATGAACATTCATTAAATGAACGTATTGAAAAAGTCAGAGATCAATTTCATAAATCTGTAAGTGTTAATAATCATTAATGAAGTTTATTTACTTATTTATTTTATTTTACTTTAAAGGGCGGCCTGTTTGAGCATCTGGGCTACCTGTTCCTGCCATCTAGATATTTCAACAAGTTATCTATTTTTGTTTGTTTTAATATATCATTATGTTTATTAATCGCATAACCTATTCTACTGCGTTTCTGAAAAGTGTACAGCCTTTCGTTGTCAGAGTTACAAAAAACTCAATAAGAGACAATGTGGTTGCTGGCAATATACAACAAAAAGAATGCACATTATTCCGATGTTCATTTACTGAACTGCTAACATTTAACTGGCGATCACTCAATATTTATCGCCAGGACCGACCAAGAAGAAAGAAACGGAAACTTGTTGAAATACTTTACTCTGAGAATTCTATGTTGTACCAAAAATATAATATTGGATAAAGCTAATGACAATAATAATAATAATAATAATAATAATAATAATAATAATAATAATAATAAACAATTACTAAAATAAATTTGTCAGTTGAATTAATATACATCTAACTACAATAAATTTTAATACAAATAAATAATTCATCTTTGTACTGGTTGTTTGAATCTTATTATTGGTGTTTAAGACTGAAATTGATTTGTTTCTTATTGGCATTTATGCATTCTGTACGGATTGCTTTACCCCATTACACAAACTAGTGGCTATCTGGACTCTGTAACTAACTCGACGATATTTGAAGCGAATGTTACTGGATTCGAGTCGCGATGTAAATATCAACTCTGCAGGTACATCCAGTGGATTAGTCCTAAACAGGACTAAAAGCAAGTTCTCGATTCCACTGTTAGCAACACTCCATCTTTACTCATAAATAAAAAAGTTCTTTTTACTTTAATAAAAACGGGTTAGTTAATTTTCATTAAGAGAAATCAACTGCATGATTTCTCAATAAGTATTTTATGGGACATTTTCAAACATGTTTTTTTTGTGATCAGTTGATGAATAAATTTTGATCCAAGTAAAAAAATCCTAAAACGAATCATGTTTACTATGAAAGCATTTTAATGCTTATTTAAAACTGTTACTTAATATATCAGTAGAATGCCTTATTATTACTTATTACAAAATAATACAGTTTATATGTAAGTATTTGAGTTTGATATGCTTCAACTCAGTTGATGACTGAAAAACGTATATTTGGAGTTATATTTAACCCAAAGTGCGTATTCTTTAAAAGGTAACTTTCATGCTCACTGTATTGTGTGGTTACGATGTTTTGGTGCATTTTAAAAATTTATCTTAGGATGAGGTTACCTACGATATTTTCAGTGTCCGATAGATGCTACGTACTCAGTACTTCCAGTGATTTTTTTGTTCGTTTAGTCGGTGGGTGCTACATATTGAAGTGTACTTTTCACTAAACGTTACATTTAGACTGTAACGTTTACTGTGTTTATCCTCCGGCATATCGTATACATTAAATTGATGTGTTCACAAAATATAATTGTGCATAACTCCGGTCACTTGAAATGAAATCCGGTATGCTGTACACTCACTAACTGAATCGAAATATGCTGAAAGTGCTGTAAATGACATTTGTATTGAACATTGAGGACGTTGCTGCTAACACAAATCCTCACAAGTTACATTAAATTTTGTGAGGCCTTCTTAGAAATAATTATCAATGTTAACTCTGAATTCTCTATTTTAGGAAATCACCATTCAAGATTTAAATACGGATCATGAATTGAACAACTTACATCAATCCATAACAGAATCGCTGGGAAAGAAAAAGGAACTGGAACATACGATCAGTTTACTAGAGTAATTATAATCGCTGTTATTTATATGATACTATACTACTTACCAATTTATTGAGTAAAAATAAATTGATTTAGTTAATCCTTATTCTCGATTTTCCGTTAATTTTAATTGATCTTAAAGATTAATGCAATTCAACCGGTCCTAAATGGAATAGATACTTATGATACTGGTCACTACTTAATGATCAGTCACTTGTAAATATTTCAGTTCACTAGAAAGTTAGTTGGGGTCCAAGTAGCTCAGTGACAACGACTCAAACTGTGAAGCGGCTGGGTAAAACGAGGTCGGATAAGCCAAGGAGCACAGGCTCTTTCAAGATTACTTCCACAGCTTGCTGACTAGTGCCAAGTAGGATAAAACCTAGGTCCATGGTTTCTTTTCAACTACCTCCAACCATCTAACAATATTTTTCTAAAACTTTCATCAAGAAATTATATTAGGAAAAAAATCAAACATATTCATTTGTTGCGAATATAAGTAGTTTGTTTACTGTGCTATTATTTATTTGGATGTAATGCTCACAAATGACAGTTCACTTTACCTTATTTTTCTTGACCACTGGCAATAAGTGTTTGTATTTATAGTGAATTTCACCCTAATATTTATATTCCTATGATGGGATTGTGAACTCTGTCATTTTGTCAGCAGAGATAGATCCTTTATATATTACCAGTTAATGCGATTGAAGAGTCCTTTCCTTGAATACTGTGCTAAACGTGATTTAGACATTAGCTAATTTTTATCACATTATCTTTCATATCATATTGTATTTCGCATTTCATTTCTTCTTATTATTCTTTCTAAACAAACTGTTGAGAAATATTCGAACCATTATTAGCAATATGTCTAAAAGTAATCATTTCATGATTTGTAGCTCTATGAATCCCCGGCATGTGGCTCTTCTGAATAACTCTCTAATGGATTCATTGTCTGTTATATCATAGTTTGCATATTGGATTTGATAATTCATAATGAAATACAAATAATTTGTTTGTCTTCCCAATTTTATTACTTTTTTAGCGAAAAAATTGCGACATTTCAAAAAAGTGCCAGTAAGTATCGTGAGTTAGAACTCATGCAGAAAGAACGAGCAAATAAACTTGAAGGGATACGCAAAATGTAAGCTGTAGAGCTAAAAATGTTTATGAATATTTAGAGTGACTAATATTTTGGTGTCAATAGTCCTGCGGTTGATAATACTTCTTACTGTTCCTTTTGTTTCAAACTAATGCTTTTGTTTCTTTAAGACGAAGTCGTCATGCTGAAGCATTGGAACAAGTTTTCGCTGGCTCTGTGATTCCTTTTGTAGCTACAGAAAAGTCACTTGAAGAACAAGCGAATCCTAATAATATTCGATCGTTTATTAATGATCAAACACGTTTAAAGGTTGTATTCTGTAAACGACTTGATGAATTGGAACAGTCAACTAGAGAGACAAGAAAACAGTTGGCTAAAATTGAGCAAGAGCGCTCATCGCTTGAAGCTACTTCTAAATTTACCAGGTAAAATGTTTTGTTCTATCATGTAAACGTTTTAGAGAATTCTTCCGAATTACGATTATATTTTTTTGTTACTGAATACAAACACAATATCCGTGATAAATAATTACAATCATTATAAAAATTGATTAAAACTTCAGAGGCACATGGGAATGCTTTGAAATAACAACATATTACAATTGAGATATTTTTCCGAGTTGGACGCCACAAATTCTTGATAATAACTAGAGGTATGGATTACTAAATAAGTATTATGGTTAGAACAGATAGGAGAGCAAGTAAAGGAATGCTGAGATAGATTATTAAAACAGAACTAATAATTATGTTTAGTAAAAGTTACAACTTGAATGAATATGTAGACTCTTTATTATAAGTCCAATTGGTTTAAACTTTTTTTAAAAATATACTTTACAGAAATCATCTACAAGAAAAACGAGATCAACTGAAAATATTAGAAGGAAAGCTTTTATCTGTACCTGGAGCAGATGATCTGGAACAAACTCTTATTAATCTTCAAGATAGACGTGGCTCTTTAGAGGAGTGAGTTTTTTTCAAAGAAATATTTTCAAACTTTTAAGTATTGACTCAGTGATCAGTTTTGTTTTTGTTGTTGACAATTCATATCAATTATTTCTGAAATTACAAAGACGATAAACGGATACTATAATTGCTGGTACTTTATTTTTATTCGATTTTCCTAAGTCTTTCTTATTCGAAAAAGTTACCTTTATTGCTTAGTATTATTCAACCACTGATACACTAGATTAGTCCCCAAAATCAGAACTCTGCTTCAACAAGAAAGTATTAAATGCCAGTATAAAACAGCTAACTAGGATGCAGTTACCATAGAGAGTTTAAACGTCATGCTCGGAATTACCGAGCAGCTGTCGGGTGTTATCGAGCTGCTTTCGGTAGCTTCGCTAATGTGAAGAAAATTTGTCCAAGGATGGGGTCGTACAGCTGACTGTACAGAGGTGTGACGGCAATAGGGTGTTTCCGTCAGATAACCAGTATAACAGCGATGCTGCCTTCAGACAAAGCAACGGCGGATTTTGAAAGACCGACCCTAGAAATGCACACCCCGCCTTATACCACGAATTTCTGCCTCCGACGGTAAGATCTCAACAAGTACGAAGTTAACACAGAAATTACTAACAAAAAGCTCGTCTGACGGTCCTCAAGTAGTTGTCCTTTGTGCACTGCGGTTACGTTCTCAAGTCACAAAGACTAAATAACCCAATTTCCATTTGATGTACCTCTGGAAGACTGACTGAAAACGATTTTGACAATTCCATTTTATTTTCGCTCAATCCTCGAGATTTTCAAATCTGTTCTAAACGCGTTTATCGGAATAAACAAACATTTAATCATCTTATTATATTCACTAAATCTATTGTTATTATTCGTATTACGTAATCTAGTATTATAACGTTTTTATTACGTCATGGGTAATTGTGTTCACATTTCCTCACAGAATTAGTACTTTTACAAAAAACAAAAAAAATTTCATATATATACGATTGTATACCTTGATAATAAATTCGTTGAAAAGAGATCCCTTCTCTGAACATCGTGTTTTAATTTTAAACATCAAAGTGTTGAAAAGACATTGTTAACTAAGCTTACCTACGGTTACTGTTAAACTTTTAACTAAGTCATTACTTCTAGACACTAAACAACTAAATATAATTTATCATGAGGATGGATATTGATGCCTACTAGTTATTTACTAAATACAGACTAATGCAGCTTGGAGGCAAATTATTGTTATGCCATAAATTCTCCTCTAGACGTCTTCAAACAATACTACTCATTATTACCAGCCTCATGTGCTTCAAAAACTGATATATTTTCAGATGCAACGAGATTGTCATCAGAAGCTTTTGCAATAGTGAATATTATCTAAAATGCACATTGTAAAGAGCAAATCCGCTATTCCCATAGGGATAATTCTGATAATGCTCGTTATGCAGTCTCTGTAAGCGAAATTAAAGTTAACTTGATCACGTGGGAGGAGGACCCTTGAAAAATGGTCTAGCACTTATAATAACCTCAATAAATGAGTATTAAAGTGGGTTTCTTTTGTGCCTCATCTTCTAAATAACAGCATTCAGGAAGTCGTATCACAACAAGACCTGTATAGTACTTACTATTAGTTGGAACGACTTTGCCTGCATACTTACTTTCCACATTGCTACAGTTACGATGAAGTCAAAAACAGATATTTATTACAGAGTATTTTAATCATACATGCTGAGTGCTAATTAAGAACAAAAATCGTCGCCGAAATTGGAATACAATCCAATATTAAGTGATAATCATAGACTATTTAGAAAATGGAAATCACAATCACTGTACTACATACATATATGGCTGAGCAGGTATACGGTTATATGAAGGGATGTTTGCATAAACTAGATGGGGTGAGGGAGTACTAATACTGAATTATCCCGGAACTTTGAGGGGCTTATGTACAGAAAAAATCGGAGCAAAGCACTGGACGCAAGTGTATCAAGTGAAATTCAGAATCATCTGAAGACAATCAATTTGTGATTAGATCTCTCATGCAGTTCTACCAGATATACGCTTTCCTAATTGTTGAAATATTTCTAGTGAAATTCCTTATGGACCTGGGGAAATTATGTCGAATGAATCACATCCCGATAGAAACTGATGCAATTTTGTTAGATGCCGATTGTCCGGATGGTTCATTATTTTTTTAGTGAAGTCCTCAATAAATCTAAGGGAAATATTTCGGAGGAATCGAATTTTGATAAAATTCTAGATGATGTCATATTGGATGTTATTTGTTTCCACGATGTAATTGTTTCTTGTGAAAGATTTGGTCAATGTGAAGCGCTAGTTCCAAATAAATTAAATCTAACTGCACTTCTGATAGTTCCATATAGAATATTGTTCACCTTCAGTATACAGTCACTTTTAGTGAATTCTTCATTTACTATGACAAATATGTTTCAAATGAGTCACATAATGTATTATTGCTCTCCAAGTTTCAGCTCAGTACAATATAACTGTCTTGAATTTTGTACTGAAATTTCTGATATACAGTGGGGGATAAAATAGAAATCCATCATCCCCAATATATCAGTTTTCGAAACACATGAGGCTGGTAATAATGAGTAGTATTGTTTGAAGACGTCTAGAGGAGAATTTATGGCATAACGATAATTTGCCTCCAAGCTGCATTAGTCTGCATTTAGTAAATAACTAGTAGGCATCAATATCCATCCTCATGATAAATTATATTTGGTTGTTTAGTGTCTAGAAGTAATGACTTATTTAAAATTTTAACAGTAATCGTAGATAAGCTTATTAAACAATGTTATTCTGATAAACGCGTTTAGAACAGATTTGAAAATCTCGAGGATTGAGCGAAAATAAAATGGAATTGTCAAATCCGTTGTGATTAAGTCTGAATAAAAAGCATATATGCTGTAAATTAGCTTCACATTGGCGAAATAACGCTACCAGAAGGAGCTCCATAACACCATATACTCACTCAAATACTTCATTCTTGACTTTTAATCCGTGTCATTGCATAGTTCAAAAATCCGTGTTTGTTGTAAAATTGTACATGTGAAGTTTCTAAACTGTTGTTTGATTTTGTTTTCGCCTTTATCGGATAAATAATGAGACATTAAAAGTGTTTCTGTGTGTAACATGACTTACTCTGACTGGCTATCTGCTAACACTTCATTTTTCAAGTCATGCGAAAATTCTCATATAAATCTATTAGACTTTGTTTTGAATAATTTTAATTGTTTATTCAGCTTTTCTCTTTTAGATGCACTTTAATATTAATAATAATCTTTTTAAATACTAACGTTGTTTTATAACCGTCTGTAACATTGATTTTCTGTAATTGTGATAAATTGTCTTTATGTTAATCTCAGAGAATATGCAAACGAACAAGGAAGTGTATTTTTGTGGTGTAAATTTCGTGATCGATTGTCTCGTGTAGATTCTGATTGTCCAGTATGTCATCGATGCTTTGACAGTGATGCAGAACGTGATGAATTATTAAATGAAGTGAGTAGTATAAAAATGTATATAAACATTGTTTCGCCTTTCGTTTTAATTGTTCATGCAATTACGATAATGAAGGTAATGTTTAGTCAGATCACTCACCTTTATGGTCTCACAGAAATTTTTCAAATATATATCATAGATATTTTAACTTGAGTGGTCGGTTTTTATCACTAGCACATACACATAACGTGTGATTGATGGCTGAGTATACTAATCTTGAGTTGCTAGGGGATTTGTGCAATAAATTTGATCATATTTACTCTTAACTGCCAGTCGCATTTCTGAAGAAAAGCTTTTAGACTTTCAGGTCTTCGAACGAGTTCTTAACCTCGCTCCAAACTACACGTTGGAGCCTTCAACGTACGCACCCTTTGTCAAATCGGTCAGCAGGCTTCCTTGGCTAAAACCCTAGAGTCTCTTTCCATTGATGTATGCTGTGTCTCGGAAACACGCATACAGGATTCCAGTGTGGTCATTCACTTGACCTCACCTCGGCAAAACGGAGAGCCAACGAGATACACCCTACGTGTATCTGGTGACCCGATGGCCAGTTCTCGTGGACTGGCAGGAGTAGGCATAGCACTAAGCATGAAGGCGGAACAAGAACTGCTAGAGTGGACCCCCGTTAACAATCATCTGTGTGCTGTTCGGCTAAACGGCTCCGTAAGAAGTCGGAAGGATAGGGACACACATCGTTGCCTTTTTGTCGTTTCTGCCTACGTTCCCACTGACTGCAGCTCAGATGATGTGAAAGATGAATTTTACAGAAAGCTTTCTGAACTTCTTCAGAAAGCTAAACGCTCAGACATAGTACTCGTAGGGGGTGACTTTAATGCTCAGATAGGTAGCTTAAACCAAACAGAAAGGCATTTAGGTGGATATTTTAGCATTCCGGCACAGCGAACAGATAATGGTGATCGTCTTCTGCAACTGTGCTCAGACAATCGTTTATTTTTAGCAAATACAAATTTTAAGCATAAGGAAAGACATCGTCTAACATGGCGACCCCCTACACCAAACCAACGATGGACTCAAATAGAGCATATTGCCATCAGTCATCGTTAGAGAGGGTCGGTAGAAGATTGTCGCTCATTCTGGAGTACCTGCTTGGACTCCGACCACGCCCTAATACGGGCACGCATCTGCTTGCGCCTCACTGGACGCAAAAAAGCCACATTAAAAAGACCAATTAGAACTGAGTTGAGTAACGAGAAAACCAAAAGTAGGTTCCAATAACAACTGAGGTCACAATTAGGTAGTTCTGAAGACGAGGCTGATCCAGATGTTGCTTGGAAAGAAATACAATCAGCTGTGGAAACAGCAGTGACATCTATTAGCGACTTAAACCAGAGAGTTACAAAGAACCAGTGGATTTCTTCAAAGTCTATCACACTGATGGATTCTCGCAAACTCGTCTCATCAGTTTCCGAACATGATAAAGAACGACAACAAATCAGATCTAGGTTAAGAAAAAGTCTAAGAAACGACCGTGAGCAGTGGTGGGCAATGAAAGCAAAAGAGATGGAAAAGGTGGCGACCATAGGGAACACAAGACAGCTTTACAGACTAATAAAAGAAACTGGAATTAATAAGTCAAGTGTAAGTGAGATTATATCGAATAAAGACGATACTCTCATCTGCTCCCAGTCCAAACGTTTAGAACGATGTGCGGAACATTTCAGAGAACAGTTCAACTGGCCTTCAGCTACTCTACAACTACCCTCCATTCCCAGGCAATGTGAATGGAACATTGAAGTAGGTCCCCCAACTCTAGCAGAAGTTCAAAAGGCTATAGTTGGTCTGAAACGAGGAAGGGCAGCTGGTCCAGATGGACTGGCTCCAGAGGTCTTTAAGGATGGTGGTCCAATTTTAGCGATTAGGTTGACTAATATTTTAGCTAAGATCTGGGAGTTAGACGTTATTCCATCTGACTGGTCACAATCACTTATCGTCCCAATATATAAGAAAGGGTCAAAATCATCCTGTGACAACCACAGAGGGATTAGTCTAACTAATATAATATCTAAAATACTAGCCTCGATAATTATCAGACGCCTAACTAAGACTCGTGAACTGCAAACACGAGAGAACCAAGCTGGCTTTAGACCTGGTCGTGGCTGCACCAACCACATATTCACCATTCTTCAGGTTCTTGAACACAGGCATACTTATCGGCGTCCGACAATGGTGGTCTTTCTTGACTTAAAAGCAGCATTTGACTCGGTAGACCGCGAGATTCTGTGGCAGTGTCTGTCATTGAAAGGCGTACCTCAGAAATGCATAAATCTTGTGAAGGCTCTTTACTCGAACACTACCAGTCGAGTGAGAGCTTATGGCGAACTATCATCTGCTTTTGCAACCTCAAGTGGTGTCCGTCAAGGCTGTCCACTTTCTCCATTTTTGTTTAACTTCATCATAGACTTATTGATGGAAATAACATTCTCGTCTACTGAACTCTCGGGTATTGATCTCCTTCCAGGAGGTCCACTTATCGACTTAAAATACGTAGATGACATAGTCCTGTTTGGTGAAGACGCTGATAAAATGCAGAGTCTTTTGGTAGCACTGAGCAACAATGCCAGAATGCTTGGAATGCGCTTCTCTCCCTCTAAATGCAAGTTGTTGCTTCAGGACTGGTCTGCGTCAACACCTGAACTAAGGATAGGGAATGAAGTAGTCGCACGCGTTGACAGCTTCACTTATCTTGGAAGTCTGATCAGCCCTAATGGGTTGGTATCTGATGAAATCTCAGCACGGATTCGAAAAGCTCGTTTGGCTTTTGCCAACTTGCGTCACCTTTGGCGAAGGCGAGATGTCCGTCTATCAATAAAAGGACAAGTATACTGCGCGGCAGTCCGTTCTGTTTTACTTTACGGCAGCGAAACATGGCCATTAAGAGTAGAAGACACTCGTAAGCTACTAGTATTTGACCACAGATGCCTTGGAAATATTGCTGGCGTCTGCTGGGATCACCGGGTAAGTAATAGTGAGGTTAGACGCAGGGTATTAGGGAATGATGGTAAATCAGTTGATGAGGTTATGAATCTTCATCGACTGAGATGGTTGAGTCACGTGTTACGTATGCCTGAATACCGATTACCACGACGTGCAATGCTATCCGGTATTGGAGATGGTTGGAAGAAAGTTAGGGGCGGCCAAACCAAAACGTGGCATCAGTGCTTGAAGTCACTAACTTCTAGTCTGAGCCATGTTGGTAGATGCAGACTACTTGGTTGGGGTCCGCGTGACTATCGTAACCAATGGTTGGAGACTCTCGGTGACATGGCTCAGAATCGATCACAATGGCGTCGGTGTATACACTCCCTGTCTTCCCTTAAACGAAGAGATTAAAATCGCCTCATACCTTTCTTTCTACGAACCAATTTCTTCTTCTTGTACTATATCTCTATATGCAATCTTTCTCTTATATATTACCACCTTTGACATAACCATTGCTCTGAATCCGGTGTTCATCTTGTTGTTCTGATGCGGTATGGCAACCTGGACCGATGCACATATGTGCCTGGTCCTACGTTGTAGCTGACTGACTGACTGACAGAATAGAATGTTATACCAGAAAACAAAAATATACCACATTGAGTAATCATCACATCAAATTAAAACGGAATGAATGTTGAACAAAGATCATAATGAGCAAATCAATCTAATTTTAACTTTTCATCCCGTTATATCAAAAATCAAACCGATTGATTGCAATGATTATATGAGACAATTAGTTGCTACCGTTACAAATAGTTGAGAAAATAATTATTTATACCAACTGAGTGATATGATGTTTGAAAATTAGGCTTAACAGTCAGGTCTTGAACAAAATGAAGAACGAGTGACCTACATGTTAATTCCTTCCAACTACCTACAACATTTTATATTGTAAACAAACATTTTAACATAAAAGTCCTATTCATCTGAACTCTGGTTTTCTTGATTTTTAGTCACTCAAGTATTTGTGTCAATACTACAGTTTAGTAAATATCCATCATTCAGCCACATCATCCAAAGACTAACATTCCACTCACTGAATTATAACAATAGAGAAATTTCGTATTATCAATTGGTAAAAAGACACCTTCACAACACCAAGTCACCAACTACTTCATTGTGTTATATCTACAGGAGAAGTGAGATATTAAAAAAGATCAGCCTTCTAAACTATGCATATTTTTTCATCTTGTTGTTCTGATGCGGTATGGCAACCTGGACCGATGCACATATGTGCCTGGTCCTACGTTGTAGCTGACTGACTGACTTATATTCTAGAGGTAGTTACATTTGTAGTGATGATTTTTGAGTTGTTTCTTCCGACTTGGTTGCTAATTATCCACAGTTTTAATTGTAAGCAATATTTATTGTTGATATATGTCGTTAATATCAATGTTAATTTGTATATTTTGTTTATAGCACGTTTTTACATACTTTACGATTATATTTTCTGCTTTACACAGATTGATAACCGAATAAAAACGTTACCTTCTGAATTTGAACGTAAAAAGCAAGAATTGAAAGAAATCGTTTCACGTCTTGAATCATTGGTTGAATTACGTCCTATAAGTTTAGAGGTTGGTGAAATCATTATGTGGATATTTAATTGTGAAATAGGTTGTCATTATACAAAATTCTTCACACTGTTAACGGAATATGTTGGAATTTTTTTCTTCCGGATACTAATACGTCAATATTGTGTTTTTCTTTATGCCTTCTCGCGGCGGGGGTATTGTTTACGAAATTGAGACGACTAAAATGGGATGCCCGGCGCTTTTACGTAGTTGGTAGATATGGAGGATCCACCTAGAGGAGTTGGAAAACCCTGATCCCAAATCAATGGTGTACATGGGCTCCAGGATCCCAAAGGAACAAATAGCATTTGACTCAATTATTGGTCACCGCCTACCATGGGACTGCATCTATTGACGTTGCTCCACTGCTTTGTGGATTAGACTTTTAGGTCAAAGGCTCGGGGTGTGGAACCCTAAGAAAACTACCTGCTTCGGTTTGGGCACACGGGTAGTATCCCAGTCCTCACACAAATTGGATTATTTATGTGGTGCATATTTATTTGGTACCTTCTTGTACCAATGTTTATGTATTTAAACAAATAAATAATAAACAAACGCATTATCGATTTATGATGAGAGTAAAAATTGAATGAGGAAGGAAGAGAACAACATGATATAAAACAGAGTTAACAGCATACTATTCCTCTAAGATAGCTACACAAAACAATATATATATTTGACAATCTTTTATCATTGTATACTTTGCAATTTGGAAATGTTAAATATTGCAGTTAATCATTTTGGTCTTTTTTAAATTCGGAATTAATCAAAATAAACTTGGACCTTAAATGTAATTCAGCTGGTGAACGATACGTGGTATCATTGATCAGTCATTTCAAACATGTTTATTCTTTCTCAATTTAAAGCCATGTTGTTACGAAGAAATTTCATACTATACTTAGATTTCAGTAATTATCTAGGAAAAATTTATATTTTACAGTATTTTTTGTGCCTAGTAAATGAGATTTAAAAAGTAATTGTACATTAATGATTTTATATTAAAACATTATTTATCAAATTTCTGGGTCCGTTTTTTATTGGTTGTTTGGATCTTACCATTGATGTTTAGAACTGCAGTTGATCAGTCTCTTATTGGCATATGTGCATCTTAAGAGTACTGCCTTAAGTTACAAGCATTATATGCAGAGATGAACGGTGACTAGCAGTGGAATCCAAATAGGACGAAACACTCGTCTTGGGCTCCACTGCTAGCCATCATCTATCTTTGCTTACAAATCTATGAATGTTATTAATCAGAATTAGTTACAATGATGCAGATGCACTTACTCGTCCTGGAACACTTATACCTTTTCGTTTTTTTTCAAATCATATTGTCCATGTTATATTTAATGTTTCCTACTACTACTACTACTAGTAGTAGTGATATTTTGATTACCTTTACTGCTCTGATATTTGGTTTGATAATTTTATCCCATTTTTTTCATATTATGTTGTGGTAACCTGAACTGGTACACGTATGTGTCAGAAACCAATATTATTTTAGACCACTACTACCTGAGCGGTTTGCTAAGTAATTTTTCATTTTTTCTTTTTCACTAGATCAAAAATCTACATGAGGAAGTAATCCCTGCTCTAGAGTTAAAAATTAAAGCTGAATTAGATAAACTTACTGATGTACGCAGTCAACGAGATAAGGTAAAATATAGTGTATACTGAGATAATTTATCTGCTTGTAGGTTTCTTATACGTGTATCACTATTCATTTATATATTGACTGTTTACAAAAAATTCGTAGATTGTTATGTTGTTTACTTGTTGAAATTTTAATTAGTACTTTTCTCTTAATTAATTGCATTTGAAATGCTAGTCATGAAACGTAACGTCTGTATTTCACATCTTAACGTTTTACCACTTTTGTGTTCGACTTCGAAATGAATGGTACGTCTACACTCCATACATTTGGCAAAATAAGTAACCGTCAGGTTCACTTACTTTTCGCTTGTCGATGTTAGCCTACAATGAATTGTATTTGCGAACGATTGAGGATTCCTTTAATAAAAGGTAACGAATAGGAACTCTAATGAACCAGATATTTGTCATACGACAACATTTCAACTTAAATAATACCTACACTACTAGTGAAGACGAGACTCTACTTTTATCATAACGTTTAACGACCTTAGGACACAAGAAAACAAAATAAAAGCGACAACAGGCAGTCTGGTAACAACAGATGTTATTGCGGTAATATGATTTAGAAAACTTGTGTGGTTATCCTTCAAAGAAAGAACCAACATGCAATGACAAAAAACTAAACAACCATATCTCTTATAAACTGTAAACTGTTATATTTAAATAATGCTAATGTTTAGTATACACTATTCTCCAAGTGACTTGGGATACAGTTCTTAAAATCCTGTTACTTAACAGCCTGAAATAGTTTTTTTTTTGTTTTTTATATTAAATTTCATTAGCTTTTCACTTAATTAGGTTTTATATGTTCTATAAAGGTATACTTATAGTAGTTAATAATGAGCATGTTCGCCATTGTTAGAGTCATGAATAGAATGCTGATCAGTAGTTGATGCGTATAAGTACAATCATCAACTCAAGACCCCAAACGACTTGGTGTCAAAAGGCAACATAAGTGCCAGGAGGATAACATTTTTCTTTCAGCAAAATAATATTCTTATATATCCAATAACAAATGACAAATTAAACAAAATTAGAGATAATTTGAAAAAAAAGATGTGATTAGAGGAAATTGTAATATCCGTTCAACTGGGAAATATATCTTCTGATATCACTGATGGATAGAGACTGGAATTCACGGGTAATAAAATTGTATCTACTTATTCACTATTTAACTTGTCTGCAACGAAGTCTGAGTTTGATGTGTTCACTTATTCAATATATATATATATATATATATATATATATATATATATATATATATACCATTCCTACAACAACTTAGTTTATCATTTATTACATTATAGACAAGTGCTCTACTTGAAACATATCAAGCAGATGAATCTTTAGCAAAAACAGTACAAGGTGATTTGGCAATATTAGAACGCTTAGAAAATGAATCTTATGAATTAACAGTTAAAATTAATCAATTCAAATATGAATTTACAGATATAACAACAGGTTAGTGAAATTATTTTTTATTTTATTTTCCCTAATAAATATATGTATATATTTAATACTTAAAAGTGAATTCTGTTTTAATACTAAACTTTAAATTTATTTCAATTGGTGAGATCATGAGTCAATTGAAGCTAGACCACCATGAAAAACTTGGAAATTTTCAAACAATCGTTATCTCTATATTTTAGTTAAATGTATTGACCATCACAAATTTGTTTTCTAAACCAATTTTATACTACGTTTAGTTTTACTTTATGGCGGTGAAACATGGCCGGTAAGAGTAGAGAATATTCGTAGATTACCAGTATTCGATCATAGGGGTGTTCGAAGCATTGCTCGTATATCCTGGGACCACCGAGTAGATAATGCAGTTGTTAGGAAACGTGTACTAGGTAAGGATGACAAATCAATTGAAGAAGTAATGAAACTTCATCAGTTGAGATGGCTGGGACATGTGTTACGTATGCTCAACCACCGACTACCCCGACGTGCAATGTTTTATGGTGTAGGGTTGGGCAGACCAAAACATGGCACAAATCCATGGAATCACTGACAAGTGGACTGAACCATGTTGGTAGATGTAGACTACCTGTTTGGGATCTGCGAGACGATAGCAACCGATGGCTAAAGACCTTGAATGACATGGCTCAAAATCGTTTGCAATGTTGCAGGTGCATGTATTCTTAGTGTTCTCCCAAATTCTAATCTTCTGAATTGTTCATGTCACTTTTTTTCTCTTTCCAAATTTATTTCATTGTATTATACTCCTTAAATAACATCTTCAGACCCTAATGTTTCCGATATATGTGGTATGGCGACTCGAACTGATGTACGTACGAAGTTCTATGTTGTTGCTGACTGACTGATTGACGTTTGGTTTTGCCGTAGAAAAAATAGGTGTTACGAGTTTGATTTTCTGTCATAACTTCATATATATTATAAATCTGTTAAATAATAGTAAATAGAATATTTGCTTTCACAGACAAACTTACATGATTAATTATTCGTTATAGTAAATAATTTGTATACTTTGTCGTGTCATTTTGCACTAAATAACATTCAGCTGTTTTTTACCAAGCAGATTCTCAATTAATTGATGGGTTGCAAGAGGAAAGAAAGTCGTTACGTGAGTCATTGTAAGTGATTGTATTCAGTTATCGTTCATATCTTTGTTTGTTTTTGTAAACATTTCTTTCGTTTAAGTGTAGAATTAAAATTTATCATTTGATCATGTATGATGATATTGTTGATAGTTTATTGTAACGTACAAGCATACCATTTTAAAAAACCATGATATTGTATGAATATTTATTTAGAATGATTATAAAACGAGTTTTGGCCAATCTCTATAAGGGTAACTTCAATACCTAGAGATCTAGTTAACAAACGTAAGTACTAATCTCATATACACGAAATAAAAACACTATGGCTAATGTCAACCAGCTGTGTGAATATATGTAACCAATTGGTGATTTCTACTATTTATTTCTGAAGACCTATTATTATTGATTATTAGAAAGTAAATAACATCCCATTGAATATTAACTATATCCTCTTTTGTATCAAACGTCACTTTGATTCCGTGCAGAGAAATCCCATTCGAAAAAAGAAGGTCCGTAAAATACTTCATAAACAACAAAGATTGTTGTAGAAATTATTTGAATTGAAATAATTTTCTTTTTATCCAAAGTTTGTCTAAAGGGTGCAACATGAGTCCTGCTGTTGCTCATGTAGCACTCATACATATGTAACACAGTGCCATCAATACATTGTTATTATTCTAAACTGAGATCCACTTGAATTGGGACGTGTTAAACGATTTATTACCATTTTATCTTAACTACGGAACATCCATAACATTATCAGTTTTTTTTAAAACAAGTTGAACTTCAGTGTGATCAAAGTTGAAGAACTACTAAAATGCTGGGATTATTTACTAATAACTTCATCTTAATTGAAAAAAATTTCATTGAATAGCACATTTAATACTTTTTAATTGAGTCCGTTGTATATCTATATGGAAGCTAGTTTGCAAAATCATTAAATTAAACGGTTTTTCTTGCCCGCAGTAAAGATGTGATGTTTTTAATTTTGACAGGAGCTTTTTACTCTCTGTAATCAATCAGGCATAGAGGGTATGATCAAATATCCGATTTCAAAACAATCATTTAACAAAGAATGGGCTTTCTGAACTTTATTTCTTGATAATCTCAATTATATACTAGTGGTGAATTAGATTGAAAATATTGTGCATTTACGAGATTTTCTTTTAACTTTTATCAATCCGTGATAATAATAAATAGTCGCTTTAAAAATATTCTGCTTCTCTAGACTAACAATTTCTGAAACTATTGAGCAGAAACAAAAGCGTGTTGATCAGTTGAATCAGGCTCAACGTGAGGCGGTCAGTGAAATGCATAGACTTAAAGATCAAATGCATAAGGTATGCTTCTGTTTGTTTGTTCTGGTTAGTGAAATTTATTTTTTTTTACAAAAAGATATCATGAATAATCTATTTCTTTGTTTGTTTATTTATAGTTGCAGCAAGAGAATTTAGATAATGTTCAACTGAAGAATGATCTTTCTCGTCTAACTCGTGACTGTGAAATTTTGAAAAAAGAACTATCTGAATTAGAATCTGAGCAACTTCCAGCTGTTCATCGTCGATGGACTGAAGCATGCGATGAACGCAGTCGTATTACTAAGATCCGTGAAGAAAATATTGAACAAGCTACTAGAAAGGTAGGTCATTGAACTATCCTAAATCAGTGTCTTATAAATTTATCTACAGTAATAAATTCTCGCAATTCTTTCCAGAGATGTTTTCTATTATCGTATTGTAAACTTTAGTATTTTGCTGCTTTAAATAGGTTAATGAAATTGGTGAAAAACTGAAGAAGCTGACTGACGCATGTACTTCGGTCAAATTTGCATTCGATTCTCAACCCTTAGAACGATTGAAGGTGATTCTTGAAACTGTAGAAGAACTTCAAAAGAACTTATCTCTTGTCAAATCTGAGGCTGACACCTGTAGTCAAAATATCGAACTCTTAAAAAAACAAATCAACGAACATAAAGTATGTTTAATATTTCAGTAATATAACGTTTGTAGAGATTTTAAGCGTTATGATTTTGTTTTTACTTTCAAATTTTCATCCATTTTAAATTTCGTGGTTTACAACAGGGACTAATCTTCGTCAAAAAACCATTTGAACATCTGTATGAATGGACTATTCTTTTATGCAGAATTTATTTGATATGAAACATTTATTAAAGAGAAATATTTCATTTAACATTGAAAATTACTTCACATCTATTAAGGTTTAATAAAGTATGATTTCTTTTGCATGGATGAAATAACTTTTGAAGTAGTCATGTTTCCTATTATTTCCAGTCTTTTATAAAATTGATAATCACTTAATATTTTCAGGTGGATATATGGTTATTTCGACCTGTTTGAATATATAACTAAATTATTGTAAACCACTGGTGTTATCTGTACTGTTTTCACCGAAAGCCTATATTGCTTCGTTTAAGAACTACCTATTTCATTACTTCTCAACTTATAAATATTTTGTACGTTTTGTAGATGCGTCAGCGAGAATTGGCGGATTGTGTCCAAGTTCGTCAACTACGTTGTCAACTTAGCTTTCTCACAGAACGAACAGAATCCCTTGCCAAAAATCAAATGATTTGTGATAATATTCCTTTATCAGATCAGGATTTAATTAACGAAACTAAACGTTTATCATTAGAAGAGGAAAAACTTCATTCACTTGTAGGTACTTTGTTTCAATGTTGGTCTTTTTCATTTACGTTTGTGTATTTGATTTATAGGACATATTTCGTCGAACCTGCTTACAGTCATATTTTTTTAGCCCACATTGATACTATTGTTAATAAGTAAACTAAATGATCTGACCTATCTAGGTTACTACGTGTTAGTAGCATATCCAAGTAAGCTGATTGATGAGAAGGGACTTGTATACTCGGGATGACTGAGTTAAATCTTTTTTGATGCACTATCGATGGATTTTACAATGAATAACTTGAAGCATTTGTTTGGTATTGACAATATTCTTATATAACTGATAATGTCTTCTTTTTGTTACAATTAGTTTGACTATTAATTTCCAAAGAAATATACCAAAATTAATAGATAGTACCGATGGTTTCGCTAAATCCGAATACAGTTCAGACAGCGTTTTGGCCATGGTGTAGGTAAAATGAATTTCTTATTACTGATCGTTTCCACTCAGTGGCCATCATACTTTCTATATAATCTCAAAAGTATGATCACCGTTGTATGTCATTCATAACAATGAAGATCACTCTGAATTGTTACTTTCATACATTTTGGAATAAATATTAAGAAATAAATATCAAATCAAATGAAGATGAATGAGTTTTTCATATAAAATATGTTTTGTTTTTACATAATTACAATATACAAGTTATATTATATTTGTATTTAAGATAGTTTAATGAACTAATGCTTACAGTACTACAGTATACTTTCTTACAAAAAGAAATGAGATTTGACTATATTTAATCATGTACTAAGAAAAACTTAATTTGTAAACTATACAATTTAGAAACAAGACATATCCAATCAACTAAGTGAATTAAACGCAAAACTCTGTTATCTTAATCGTGATTTGAATGAAAAATATACCAACGCTGACAGTGAATATCGTGATATGATGTATCAGCTTAAGGTAAGTATTAGTTCTACATTTTTTAAAATCTATAAATTTATATGAATCTTTTATAAATATAAGGCTGTTTTTCCAATACAAAAGAAATCTCAAAGTTGTATTATACAACCTTTTTATTCTTAACTTTAAAGAACAACCTTTCTGATTGGTAATTGTTATGTCTATAAAATTGTATAAGTGAATAGGAGTATGCTAAATATATGGATAATATAGTTATTCATGAATCCAATGGACCTAGAATATGGTTTTTCTCTTGTTATCAGTATTTCATGCTTGTGTTTAGTGGTCTTCAAAAATGTTGATTAATTCATATAAATAAGATAATACTTTTACGCTTAACTTTATCATCCATTCTCATAGACACAATTTTCACACAACAAACATTTCCAATTCGTTTAAAATTCCTTCTCTTTAGTTGGCTAACAAACTTAACAGTTTCTCTAAAGTATATTTATTTATCAGTATAGCGGTTGTGAAGATCATTTAGTTTTTGATTGAGATCACGAACCGATTGATGTTAGAACACCATTGAAAACCTGAAAGCACTGGATGGCGGTTCTGTCCTATTGTGGTACTCCTCAGCAGTGCGCATCCACGATCCCGCCCGCGGGATTCGAACCCAGGACCACTGAGCCGGAATCTAATGGTGTTATTGTCTAACCTCAACCAATCCACGAAATTGCGCGACCATGTTCCATTGTGCTGAAGTAGATACCTGTCTCTACCCGACACGGATTAGCTCCACTGGTCACGGCTATTAAGAGTTTATACTGACGAACATATCAGTTTAAATGTTAGTATTTCACGAAATTCTTAGTATCGATGTGGATGATTGTTTGAAAATTATTTGTTCGTTTGTTTTCTTTTTTCATTATTTAATATTTAGACTTCAGAATTAGCTTGTTCGGATTTGGAACGATATTATAAAGCTTTAGATAGGTATATGATTTTTTGTAAATTTTTGTTGTTGTTTTAAGCTATCCAAATAAATAACCAAAATAGATTCAAATTGTGTTTCTAGTTCCTATACTTTATGATCCAGTACAATACCCGTAATAGTTATTTCTATCCCAAAATTGTGTTTTACTTTTATTACTGAAATTCATTTATGGTGTTTTTGTTCACATGAATAGTTTTACAAGTTTAAGAGTTTACATGTTTGTCTTACTAGTTTAATTTATGTTTAGATGACTATGTGTCTCAAAGAATTAATCGATCATGTATTTCTTTTTTGATGAGTTGATAGATTCTAGGGGAGAACTTGATCATTGGTATTCTTTAAATATACACATCTTTACCTGGGACACGTGATATAATAATGTTGAATGATGTGGTTAGAAATTATCGACTTAAGGTATGAGGGTGAAATCGCGCTTCTGATTGAACTGATGTTTGAATTCTCTTGGTTCATTTCGAGTGATCCTGCCTTCCTTCAGTTACAAGAAAGAGTTGGATATAGTAAACCGTTTTTCCCTTCTCACAGACTTTCATACTTTGCACTATTTAATTTCAAGTTAATTTAACTTGTTTATTTATACTATGAAGAAAGGATTTTCATTGAGTCACGAAACGTCAGAAAATTTATTTTTCTACTCATTGAGATATTATAAATATAGCGTTTTTCTTAAACGTAATTTGCGTTTATTTTTCTTCCCTTTAGAGCGATAATGTCTTATCATGCTGTTAAAATGGCTGATCTAAATAAAATTATCCGAGAATTATGGCGCAGTACATACCGTGGCAATGGTTAGTTACTTGTAATAATTAATTTGAATTAAAGTTGATAAGCTATAACTATATTTGAATGAAATGCTTGATATTGGCAGTCTTTTTAAATACTTATTGGATCTACTAAGTGTATACTTACAACTGATTGGACACTGGATACCGACGAATGACATGTGTGCCGGATCCTTCTTAGTTGTAGATTCAGTTCTATAGACTGAGTTGAAATATGACCACTAGTCTAGGTGATTCAACATTGCGTGCACTACGTTGAGATGTACGATGGTGGTTGGAGGTAGTCGACACGAAACCATAGGTTTCGTGCTATTTGGCACTCATCAGCAAGGTGTACCTGTAGTCATGAGGGAATTGATGCTCCCTGATGAATTCGGTTCCATGTCACCTAGCTTCACAGTCAGAGACGTCTTCACTGAGCTATTCGAGCCGCGACTCACCTGCTCCAGCGCTGAGACTTATTTACAATTGATTGGTCATTCAAATAAATATTGAATAACAGTATTTATTCTTTGGTGATTCAGTTTGTATCATTTACTGAATATGTACGAAACAGTTTTTCTCTGATATCTACTATGCATTTTTGATTGTAAGCATTTTTTTATCTTCTAATTATTGTCATATTCTTTATGGATAGAAAATAACAGTTACCTCGTTTTTGTGGCAAAATGTCGAAGTGATGAACCTGTCGTATTATAGTAAAGCGTAGTTGTGACCTTTCATATGTTCTACTTTGCTAATAGAAGTCTTGTAAACGTGACGTTTTTCATGACCTATATGTTATGTGAAAAGAATCAAGTAACGAATTCCATGGATTTCCTGCTAGTAGTTTTGCGTGTATAATAGGTAAATTTTGCATCATATATAAATTTTTTTTCCGTGTTTTCGTCTAGGATTTTCACGAAAGTGTGTTTTATCATGTCTTATTAATAGTATAAGGACCAAATGTAACCTAGGCTGAAGAAAAACTGTTTAGTCATTATTTCAAAATGTTTCTAATACTAGTCAGGGAAATATGAAATCATGTTTCTTTTCATACCACAGTATGGAGTACTGACTTTTGATGGACTAAGTACTAACCATAATTTATATTTTACTTTTCAGACATCGATTACATTGAGATATGTAGCGAAGAAGATACAGCTGCTGCTTTGAATGTTTGCAGAACGCGAAGAACTTATAATTACCGTGTGGTTATGGTGAAGACAACAACAGGAAGCATGTCAGTTTCTCGGCCGAAGTCAAAAAACAACATTTCATGCAATAACGAAGCCCGTTTAGATATGCGTGGACGATGTTCAGCTGGGCAAAAAGTTTTAGCCAGTTTAATCATCCGTTTAGCACTGGCTGAAGTATTTTGCCTACATTGTGGAGTACTTGCTCTTGATGAACCAACGACAAACCTCGACCGAGAAAATATTGAAAGTTTAGCTTATGCTCTGGTAGAGTAAGTGATTTTCAGCGGCACATAGTATTAGGAATTACGTAGTAATTCGGTTTGAAGTATACGAGTATATTCAAAATAGGTCATTAAAGTTTTAAAACATAAAATTTAGTGTCAAATATTGGTATTACTGTGAAAGTTTTATATTCTGTCTTGGTATTCAGAATTAATATCGGTAAAATTCACTTGATATCGTTTACGTGAATCTTCTCATTGATGTTTAGGACTGCAATTGATCAGTCTCTTATCGGCATTTGTTCATACTGTGCGTATTGCCTCTATATTGCCTTAATTCACGAGCATTATAGGCAAAGATGGATAGTGGCTAGAAGTGGAATCACCAATGGGAAGATTCAAGTAAACAATGCCAAGTGAATTTAAACTTCACCCTATCGCACAAGCAAATGGCTATCAGGACGCAGTAGCTAAGTGGATAGCGAGATGGCGTTGGAAGCGAACAGTACAGAGTTCGAGTGCGAGAACGTAAACTCTGGGATACAGGTACATCCAGCTGACGAGTCCCAAATAGGACGAAAGGTGCGTCCTGGATTCTACTGCTAGCCACTATCTATCTTTGCTTACAATGATATCGGCAAAGTTTATTGTCTATTTATCTTTGTGTTGTCAATTAGTCATATTACTGTATTTCGTACCTGAATAAGGCGAATACTCAAAGCAGGTCTGAATGATAACTTTCATTTTAGTACTATAACCAATTTTTTAATCGGGAAGTAATAAATTTGAATTATGAAAATCCTTTGCTGTTGTATATAAATGAAACCTATCTTGTAATCACTGTGGAAGAACGCACCTCTAATTTAATTAACAGTAGTTTCACCGTTAAGTCTTAAGTAAATAATAACATTACAACATAGTTTTATAAGTATCTTCCAATTATCGCTTGAAATGATTTGCATTAAGAACGTCGAAAATGAAATCCAGTTCATTAAATCATTATGGTAATGTAGTAGTGGTGATTGTAGTGTGGCGTGCGCCACTTATGTTGACTGATATAAGTAGTACGTGACACCAATCAGAAGTGGAATGCCTGGCAGAAGATTGAGAAGATTGGATTGAAGAGAACAGAAATCTAAACAGACAGTTACCGTAGTAACAATGAATCTGAAAGAATCATGAAGCATTTAAAGGACAACTGAAGGGAGATGTGCAAATGATGTACTTAATGTATGGTTTTCATATTTTACCAAAACATGCTGTGATTTTGTATTAAACAATAAGTCGGTTATCTTCACTAAGTCCTCGTTCACTACGACAATATTAGTAGTAGTACTGGAATGATTTATGGAAACTTCATGTGTAATAAATAAAGAAATAAATTCTAAAAAATTAAACATATACAGATATTTTTGAAAGAAACTAACATTCCAGTTCATATTGGTTGTATTTATTGATTTGAAGGTGGATAATTATACCAAATGGTTTATTTAAAGATTATTAGTTTTGTATAGCCTTACTGATTGTTTTCATCTGAACAATGTTAAAATTTATAAATAAATTGATATATTTGTAATATCCCAATGTGTAGAAAATTTAAATTCTCTGACGTTTCGTCACTCAGTGTAAGCCACTTCTTCAGAGGATAAATAACCAAATCAAAACTAATCCAGGTTTAAATAGTACAACGGAACAACAAGAATATTATGTGATCAATCAAAAAACAAGTTGAAATTTGTTAATTCTGTTATGCTTTATTTATGCATATATTAGAAGTAGTGTTTTGTACTGTCAAGTTTTACAAGTGGTTATATTTCAATCTATAACAACATATATAGTCGAACAATATTATTTTCGATTAGATCCTCATCAGGCTTTACTCTAATATACGGTAATATTTATATGTATATACGAAATTATTAAACCAATCAAAGTATTTTATGGGTCAATGATAACAGTGGAGCAGATTACATGAATAGATAAAATAAGTGAAAAGTACAAATTGGTAGTGTGATGACATGTGTGTGATAGAACCGAGCTTTGTAGACCTTCATTATAAGAGAAACCTAGTAAAATGTTTTACAAATAGAACTAGGAAGATATGCTCAGTCGATAAAATAAACACACACTTGGTCTATAGCGCTCATGTAGTAGGCAGAAATAGGTCATTTAAAGTTTTTTTTCTCAAACATACGTTTCACGATCCAATTATCTGAACACTTCTTATTACAGTATTTTATAATTCTTATGAATGTTATTTCAGTGTCTATAGTTTTCCTAATCATTCACCTATTTTCCATTATGTAAGATTGATTCAAGTGTTTATTATTCTTATCACAACTAGTACACCTGTCATCCCATTACGAATTTGTACTTTTAACTTATTATATTTATTCATGTAATCTGTTCCATTGTTATCATTGACCCATAAAATACTTTGATTGGTTTAATAATTTCGTATATACATACAAATATTACTGTATATTAGAGTAAAGCCTGATGAGGATCTAATCGAAAACAATATTGTTTGTATGTTTTTCTAAATCACAATATGGTAATTTTTCACATTCTAATCTATATAGAGTACGCGAACGTCATGATGAGTTTTTACCGGTCGAGTCAATTAAAGGTGTAGAATGCTTTGCCCTTATTTCACTTATTTGGTCGGGAAAATTAAGTTTTCAAGAATGAGAAATTTTCCTTGTCCCTTTGCAATTGTTGCAAGATTTGTTTTGATGCTCTCAGTTGACAAGCCAACAACTTATGCTTGTGTGTAACTGTTCAGTAAAAGATTTCTCCGAGCATGATCAATATTATTTTCTTTTATTTAGAATTATAAAAAACAGGAGCCGTCAGAAAAACTTCCAGTTAATCGTTATCACACATGATGAAGATTTCGTCGAATTACTTGGTAGATCAGACTACGTGGAAAACTTTTTCCTATTATCACGTGATGCACAGTAAGTCGGAATAAATAGATCACAACCAAATTTAATTTTCTTTTTTATAGAGGTTTATCAGAAATTAGAAAAGTCCCTATTGGAGAACATTTTCATTAAAATATACATATTGTTTATTTAAATTATATAAATGATTTCATGAGAACTTCTTACTTGTTAAATCACTATTGTCTAGCTCATATTCCTCTCATTGTATATGAAAAAACAATTAACGGTTATTCTGATAGATGTGAGTACTTTTCTGTTTTATATGATAATTTTATTCAGGTATTATTAGTCTGTAAAGAAGGTAAATTCTGACCGATAAACTAAAAATGAGTGCAGACGTGTGTAGGTTCATAGTACAGTGGACCATGTTGTTGATCAGCTTAAATTAAGCCTACAGGATCTCCTAACCATCTAAATTATGTGAATACAATGCAATCCTAAAATAAGCTAATAGTGAGTTGATATCCACAATAATTATATTTTTGTTATATCCCGATGAGTAGGAAAATTGTACTTCTGACGTTTCGTGACTTAATTTAAATCAATTTTTCAGAGTAAATGAATGATTTAGTTCGGTTATTTATTTACTCTAAAAATGTGGCTTACATTAAGTCACGAAACGTTAGAACTACCATTTTTCTACTCATTGGGATATAACAAAAAATATTTATTACTTACTTCCTACCCAATGCTCAATTTATTTGAAACTATCAAGTCAACCATCGGCATTGATACCTATAAATTCATAATAAGGTCATTTTTTGTGTGTTTTGAGTTAGCGATTGTTAACACATATTTGACATTTGAATTAATTTTTGAAACCCATGCACCAATAAAAATGTGAATAAGGAAGTTTGGATCAGAATCTATGCTTAAGTACAAAATTGTTATCTACAAAAGACATGTATAATTCAAGGTATGCCTAATATGATAGCATGTTAGAAAAGAAGTGAATAGCCACAAATAAACACGGAAGTATTGTTTAAATAACTTTGGATTTCAGGAAAAAATGAAGCGTTCCTGTAGATTCCTGCATATTGCAGTAAGAAAAAAACAGTGTGACCTTTAAGAGCTTCTCTTTAACTTTCAAGTTTTTCCATTATTTTATTAGTGAATATGAAACACGAACATTTAATTGTTTATTGTTTTTAACCCGAAATCGTTATTCACAATAAACTAGATGGGTAAAGTGTTATGAACAAGCGATTTAATAGACAGTAATATCCGAAACAAACTAAGCAATGTGATTTCAGTATGAATCGAAATGAATTAAACAGCGCATTGTTACATACAATGTTATATAACACACTTAGAATCTACAAATATCTAAACGAAGCAAATATTTTGAAGTTGATACAATTGAATGTTTAAAAATGCTTGATGTATAGTCATGTATAAGCCCAGTTAGCCAACAGAAGATGATTTACATGAATCTCGTTGATGCAAACTAGGAGAGATGTACATAAGTTTATTCAAGGGGAGGAATGTTAATGATGGAAATCTAGGCTAAAATCCACTTGATATTCGTTGAGTTATGCTGAGTTTTAATTAAGATTTCCAGTGTGAGAAAACGAACCGCGGATTCAAATATGCTATTTTTATAAATGTATGTTGTATCCGCATTATAGTTAATCAAGCATTTAGTAGAAATTCGGTAGTGAGACACCATTTCTGTATTCGTTTCATTGATAATTGGGAGAATTTATGAAGAATTAAATTCCTGTTATACCAAGTGCTAAATTTCGGTAGAGTTCTACGGCAAAACCGATGAACAGTTAATCGACCCATTGTATTTTGATGTTAGGGAAATAACAAAAACTGTATATTATCATTTATTGAGAAGAAAGTTATCATTCACCAACCCAGAGTCAATAGCCTATGGAGTTAAAGTTGACATTTCAATCAAGTCATTGTTTGTAAGTAATACTCATCGCAACGAATATGGTTTGTTATATATTCCTCGAAATTAAAGAAATACCGTCTAATCTAAAAGTGGTCATACGACTTTGTGAACTGTCATCTCTAGATTACACAGATGTTTTGAAATGGCGACAATAAATCACCATCCTATTGCCCAGCCACCTTCATCTTGCAAAATAAATCAAAAAGTGTACTGTCTCTGGGGTTCATGATATCGTACTTGCAGTGATGACTTCTGTGGAAGTATATTGATACTCAAGCGAGTTAATTGAAATCCACCTTCCGTATTCCTTACTCATCACTACACCACCGTCGGATCCCATTCCAAACAATGCATCAAGTGGTTTTGCGTATGCTATGTGCTCGACATATGGTCCCATGTCTGAAAATTGGATCGAAATTAGCAAAATATGATTTACACCATTTGTAATAAAATGTAGGTTGAGCCTATGTTAAGTGATAACATGTTTGGTTTGAACAAGTACATTTGAAACGTTCATATACAACAACAGCCTGTGATATCAGGCCTAATTACCTAGTGTGACCAAGTAACTGATTGTGTACACTTAATTTGTATAAGACAGTTTAACAGTTATTGAATCCTATCTCTGTTAAACAATTTTAAATATTATGAGCTGGTGAAACGAAATGTATCTCATTTAGAACACGGATATAACTAGAGAAGTTGTGGAAGTGGATTCCGAACTTTAATAGAGTTATATATTATATTATTATTATTATCAGCTTTATTCAATATTATATTTTTGGTACAATATAGAATTCTCAGCGCAAAGTATTTCAAGAAGTTTCCGTTTCTTTCTTCTTGGTCGGCCCTGGCGATAAATATTGAGTGATCACCAGTTAGATGTTAGCAGTTCAGTAAATGAACATCTGAATAATGTGCATTCTTTTTGTTGTATATTGCCAGCAACCACATTGTCTCTTATTGAGTTTTTTGTAACTCTGACAACGAAAGGCTGTACACTTTTCAGAAACGCAGTAGAATAGGTTATGCGATTAATAAACATAATGATATATTAAAACAAACAAAAATAGATAACTTGTTGAAATATATGGATGGCAGGAACAGGTAGCCCAGATGCTCAAGCAGACCGCTCTTCATTATGTTATTCCTGTTTTGTGGTCAGGAAGACGGTTTAAATCGTAATTATATAAAATGTGATACTGGTCAACTGCATTTTAACACTCTTGTTAGTTACGTATTTTGAGAAGAGGATGGGATTGCAAATCATTTTTCATCTAAACAACATCTCTAGTTGTAAACTTGAATTTATATAAATACTGTTTTTCATAAACAATCTAACATAATGTAGACTAAGATGGCTGGGAAAATGTATTTCTGTTTATCATCGAGAATGAACATTAGCATGCTATGAATTCCGATTTTGTGCTGGATGATTTGCGATTGTTTTCAGGTAACGAGTTTGATAACTCCAATGCGTACTCAAGGTTATACAGATAACAATTCATTGTGAAGTTGCGAAGCAGATCACAAAGATGAGCACAAGTTTAGTAAATGTTTTTTCTGTGGCAAGTTTCGCGCATGCAATTCCTATGTACTTCGTAATGAGTTTGATGACATAAACGTTTTCTTAGTATCACGTCTAGAGTGAGAAATGTAGTAGGACAATATACCACTTTTTCAATCTCAAATCATTTTAAAAAGTATAAGTAAAGACAGTTGTACATAAACCACGTTATTCAAATGAGTTGTTCAATTATTAACTTACTTAACGTTTTACAAAGCATATCCAAGCTATTGCATTTTTGATGCTTATAGATGTAGAAGTTAGAATACATTCAACAAAATGGTAAATCAGTAGAATTGTAGTTGAACAGCAGCATGTAATGGGTCACCTTTTCCTGATAGAAGCTTGAGGTGCTGTAGATAGGCCATAAAACATTTCACCTAATTGATCTAAAAGTGTTTCTGTTCAGGAATATTAACATCAGAGACCATTTAGACGCTAAACTGATTTTGAACGTGGAGTATGTCCCTTAAGTACTAATTACTACATAGGCGATTATTATAAAAATATCTGGATATGTTGCATCATTAGTTCGGAAAGCCAGCAGAATATACACCTAGCTCAACCATGTTCATCAGTAATGATCAGAACATTTTCACTTGTCTGATCGAATGTGTCACTTCACATTGAAAATCGATAAAAATTATACTCCATAGGATTTCTTCCGTGAAAACTATCGTGTTGGTAAGGATTAATAGAGGAATTTTAATTCATTGAACCGAGAAATAATCTTCAAAAGATCCGAGTCAAGAAATTGTCACCAATTGGAAATGTAAAGGTTAAATAGTTAGGCGACAGAAAAATAAAATTTATCTTTCTGTTAAGTTACAGGGAAGTGGGTATTCACATAAATAAGCATTGTATAGATGAAAATTTCACCTAATATTTGAATGGCTAAGTATTTCATTTTTGAACATACAGTAAGTATATTAATATTTTACAGGTATTATTTTCATTGTAGTCGAAAGTAACTAGCAGCTAGTGCAATAAATTGTGTTTAGCTTTTAATAAAACTAGTTTATTTGTATTGGAACTGAAAATAATCGATTTCGATGACTGACAATATAAGGAAGTATGTCAAAGTATTCATTGATTCAACACATTTAATATGAACCCACCTAGGTTCTGTAAATTTACAATGCTTATGTCCCGAAATGTCACCATCACGATAGAGTAAGCAACTTTTTCTCCTGTATTCATTTTGTAACTGTCTGGATAGATAGCATATGCTGTAGGCAGTGATAAAAACATGACCAACTGAGGCACTAAATTGATCAGTACTGAAGGGAAACAAATTGATTCAAAACATTGATAAGTTTACTTTCACAAGATATTCAAAACGACAAAAACTAACAGTTGTTGTGAAGACTTAGGAAACATCTAAATTCAATATTTCACAACGAAGGCCAACGAGAAATTTTACTTGGTGTTTCAATCGACATCCTATGTTTACGCAACATTCAATGCTTCAGATATTATCATATGGTGCAGAGTGTACCTTATTATTATTCCATCAATTTTCACGCTTTCCGTGAGCTTATTCAACTAGGAGAGATCTATTCAAATAGATGGGATATCCTAACATTTTTTTGACTAGATTTTAAACGTTGGAGTATTTACCCGTTTCATAATTAAGCATATAACAAAGCTAATATTTAAAGAAGCTACTAAACTTAGTGCACTCACGAATGATGGTGATAATACAAGGATATGTGTTGACATTGTAAAGGTCTTAAGTCTTGTAAATCACAGTATTTTTTCATCAC